CGTGGACGGCCAAGAGAACAGAGTCTTGGAGAGGGTGCAGCCAGAGTGCTCTCTGGAGATAGGAGGAATGAGGCTTTGCCTCACAGACTTTGGGCCTGTTGCTAGGAAGGGCTTTTGTTTGGGGAGAAACATGATGCTGGGAAGGGTGAAGGGTCCACGAAGAAGAGGAAGACCCTCAACCAAGTGGATTGACATGGTGACTGACACAGTGGCCTTTTGTATGTCAGGAAGTGTGAAAATGGTACAAGATAGAACAGGGTTCAGATTGTTCAGAGAGTCACTGAATCACACTCGACGGCCCCTAACAGCAACAACAGAGTCATTGTTGACATAATTCATACTTCTATCATTTTGTGATTCTAACATTATGCTGATGCTTGGAGCTTAAACTTGGAGGAAGAGTTAATACTGTTTAATACTGTTAGAATCAAGTGAAAGTGTTAGACATTTTGTTTATAGTACTCTAAAAATATGGTTTTCGAGTATCAGCCCAGCACCAGTAACAACAGTCAGAATTCCCTGTGGAGACAGATTGATCACCTTGGTTACCTTGACATGCTCATTTGTAAGGAAGACTGACTTTTTTCAGAAACTGTTTGCCGTCCTGCATATGTGACTGTTCCCTTGACAATAGAGTTTATTTGCTTCCTAAATTTTCCCTAGGTAGATTTTTACAGGCAGCTAGCTATGTTTAGGTGAAAAAAGGATGTGAGCCACATGAAAGGATTTTCTGAAATGTGTTTCATGAAAGAAAGGTTTACCGCTTGGGCTGAGCTGTGCAGGGTGGGAGGCTCCAGTGTGGAGAGGTGCTTCCAAATAAGGGGAAGTGTGAGGAGGACCGACATGCAGGGAGGACCGGCTGTGGGGAGGGGCTCATTAGAGAAGGAAGTTGCAGAGCGGGGAGGCAGAGAACATCTTCCCAAACAAGTCCAGATCTTAGCCCAAGTTCTAAGGTGCAATTCCTTAATTAGTCCAGGCTCTGGTTTCAGGTCAGCAGTCAAATCCAAATTACCCAGCAAGGTTTGCGTCAGAGCAGTTTGAAGTCAGCTTCTTCAGGCATCTGGCAAGAACAGCAAAAACCCTTAACTGTGGCCAGCACAAGCTCAAGAAGCCTCAGTTCACACCTTGCCACAATTTCTCCACAGCAGTGCCAGCTTCCCCACCACCATCACCAGGGTCTCGCTTCAGTCCCCTCAAGTCTCACCACCATCAGTCTTGCTCACCTCAAATCCTGCTCCCGCACATTTCCTCTTAACCTTGTACTAGTTCCATAGCAGTTGATGATTTGCAAGACCATGTGTCTGCAGTTAAGATAACTGGAGACTGGGGGTGTAATGGCTAAAAAAAAGCCATCATTTAGGGTAACATTGCATTGATAATTTCCACATTCTAGTCGATCACGTTTTTTGGGAAAGGGAGCAGATACTTACTGCTTCCAGTCATTGGCCAGGTAAAAGTTCTTGACACAGTCTGGTGAGCACTTCCAGGGATGCATCTATTTATTGGAACATGTTAATTGGTATTCCATCGACTCCTGGGACTTTATTTCAAGGCAGTGGAGATGGAGAAAAGATTGAAATTGTCAACAATGTCATCTTACTTGGATCCACAAACACCCTTTATACTAGCAGTCAGGAAATTAAAAGACATATTACATTGGGGGAAATCTGCTGTCAGGGACCTCTAGAAAGTGCCAAAGAGCAACAACATCTATGTGAAGACTGAGGTGCACTTGATCCAAGGCTGTGCACTTGAAAGTTGGACAGTGACTAAAGATGACAGAAGAAGAACCGATGCCTTTGAATTGCTGGCGAAGAGTGCTGAATTTCCCATGTATTGCCAAAAGAGCAAACAAGTATGTCTTGGAGAAAGAGTAACCAGGGTGTTCCTTAGAGGCAAGAATGGTGAAACTTGGTCTTAGGCACTTTGGCCATGTCGTTAGACAGGGTCAGTCCTTAGACAATGCCATCGTGCTTGGAAAGGCGGAAGTTCAGCTTAAGAGAAGAATACTTTCAACAGGGTGAATTGACACAGGACCTGAATCAGTGGGCTCAGGGAGATGCTGAGGGTGGTGCAGATAGGACAACGTTTTTGTCTGTTGTTCGTAGGTGGTTCTGAGTTGTTAACATGTTGCTGCAAATGACAGCCCTTGTGTCTCTAAGCATGGTCGTCAGTTTAAAACGTGTGCGGCAACGTAGCTACAATTAGGTGGAATTGTGCAGAGTCTATTTGAGAGAAAGGAGATAAGGCATCTGCTAGATGCACAGGCTTGTGTTGGAGCAGCAGCAGGTGGATGGGAAGGGAGGCAGAGCGGTGGGGGCAGGCTCCGCTGCAGGCTGTGGGGAGAGTCAGGGCAGAAGGCATCATTAGTGTTACTGGGCTATATTTCACATCGCTCATGAGTTTAAGTTGACAGTTAGATGAGGTTGACGACTGTGTTCAGTCATGTAGCTGCCGTCACCACCACCACCATGCTGAGCGGTCCCCAGCCCCAGAAAGTGTCCCTTGTGCCCCTGTGCAGGTGGACCTCTCCTGCCCTAGCCCTTGGCCAGCACTCATGGATTTCCTGGGACTGTAGTTGGGATGTTTGCGTTTTGTTGTTTTTTGCCTTCTCTGGGAATTCCTGTAAATCTTCCTTTTTGGTGTCTGGTTTCTGCTGCTTAGCATATGCTCTTGAGATTCCTGCATATTGTCCATCTGCTGCTTCCCTTTTGTGCTGCGTTGTAAATCTGTCATGTGGATGGACACACGAGCAGATAATAGGGATTTGCGTTACTTCTTCATAAGAAAGTGCCAGGTAATTCCTAGTGTATCTGGAGATCATTTTGGGGTTCCCACTCGCTCCACATCCTTGGGACATTCTCACATTTCCTGGTATCATCTGTTATTTTGCTTTAGCTAATTATGAAGTGTTAAGGCAGAAGGAACCGGATGATACGTCGTGTCAGAGACGCTAGCCAGGGCACGGTGGAGACAGAGTTCTTTGGTGCCTCAAATTTACATGCCTTCAGCTGAAAACACCCTGCTGGGTTTCTGGCCTCTCTTGTGCACTTTTCCTGGAACGGCGTTTTGGAGTCAGGCCTCCCGGGTTTGAAGGTCCCTGGCTCTGCACCTCAGACTTGCACCCGACCTGTGCAGACAGTAGGTGTGTGCTCTCTGTTGGTGAACGTCGGCTCTTGGCAGCTTTGTGGCTGGTGCTTGGATACGCGTTGTAATCGGTGGCTTTCTGCTTCCCTTTCTGTCCGAGCCTCTCCCCACCAGTGGCCACCACTCGGTAGCGATGGCCACAGTGGTTTTGTGGGCCGCCCGTCTTTCAGGTCACTGTCCTCTGCTCATCCTTGCATTTCTGTTTTGGGAGAGTGCTGCCACGCACGTCCTCCTAGCTGCCATCCATCTCTGCTGTGATTTCCTGTTGGCGTCCTCTCTTCCACCGCGCTGTGAAGTCCATGTAGGCTGGCACTGTGCCCTCCTTCTGCCGGGTGCCCCCTGCCAGCACGTGGGCCTCGTTGGCAAGGGCTCAGGCAGTTGCAGAGTTCATTGTCTCTCTTGGATGACAGAGATCCCAAGTCTGAAGTCCTTGTAGCATTAAATATGTGGTTTTCTGAGCATAAAGACCCTTCAGAATGGAGGTGTACTTAGAAATAGGCTGTGTAACATGGGAGACTAAGGTGCGTCTGATACAGGCCATGGTCTTCGCAATCACCTGTTATGCATCAGAGAGTTGGACAATGACCAAGGAGGATAGAAGGAGAACTGATGCCTTTGAGCTGTGGTGCTGGAGAAGAGTACTGAGAATACCATGGACTGCTAGGAAAACAAACAGATTCATCCTGGAAAGGGTTAAACCGGGTGGCTCCTTGAAGGCAAGGATTCTGAGGCTCCGTCTAACTTACTTTGGACATGTAGTGAGGAGAGACCGGTCCTTGGAGAGGGACATCATGCTTGGGAGGGTGGAGGGACGGCGCAGGATAGGAAGGCCCTCTATGAGGTGGATTGATTCAGTGACTGGGATAATTGGGATGGGAGTGTCAGAGACAGTGTGATTGGCACAGGACAGAGCGGAGTTTAGGGCTGTTGTACATAGGGTCGCTATGAGTCGCAGGCGACTCGATGGCACATAACAACAACAACAAACATGGGAGTAAAATGTGTTTAAATAAGCCACTTTTTACAAGTCTGCTAACATATTCCTGTTGTGACAGTTAAACCTCACAGAAACTGCGGAAACCAGGGACGAGACTGACAGAAGCAAGCTTCAGTTTGGAAGTATCCCTCAGACACTTCCACAGCAGACTGTCAGTGTCCTCAGACCAGACACAGTGGCTTGTGCTGTTGCTTTTCCATCTTGTCAGACTATTAAGAGTTAATAATTTTAAGGAGAAATTGTTATCTTTGACAGTATTTATTTGGTTTATTGTTCATTAATTGCTCGCCTTTGAGTTGTAATGTCTTTTTTTATCTCCAGTTCTTGAATACACTGGTGTATGGTGATGAACTTATGTTTCTGCAATCATGCAATGTCTCTTATACCTTCAAAATTTAAATATATTTCATAAGTAACAGAGCTTGGCCTCTCTTTTAGATTTCTTCTCTGGATTTTTGCATACTTCTTCATTTCTGTCTCTGTTTTTAAGGGTAAGACCATCGGCCCTGCACTGGATGACTTGTGTGTAATTTCCTTCAGGAGAATTACTCATGTCCAAGAACCCTCCGCACCTCCTGCCCATTAGAGTGCAGCTGACTCCTTAGAGCTTAGCCCTAGAGCATCGTGGGGGGCTTGATTTATAGAGGGGTCAGAGTGGAACTGACCCTCAGAACTCAGCCCTCGAGAACCTGAGAGTGCAGCGCTGTGATGGCGCACGCAGGTTTGCACGCAGGTTTACACTCGGAACGTCAGAGAGCTCAGCCTCTCGACGGGGAGTTGGTCTGCAGACAGGAGTGGCAGTTCTTCTGACAGGTCTCTTTCCACATCCTCAGTCTAACATTTGCATTCTTTGCAGGGTGGGAAACCCCGTAAACACCGGAAGGATCGGCTGCAAGATTTAATTGATATTGGCTTTGGCTATGATGAGACAGACCCATTTATTGATAACTCAGAGGCTGTAAGTAATGCATCTTTATTATAACTGGAAATGCTTTGTTTGTTTGGGATATAGAGATCATCGCAAAGGTTAATAAAACAGCTTGATGAATGCTTTCACTTGTGCTGTTAAACCACTTGGATGGCTCAGCGGGTTTTTGCTTTTTAAAGGCTGTGTGTTGGGTAACCTGTGGTGAGGCATCCTTCCTGGGTGCCCCAGAGGCCTACAGAGGCTTCCTCGATGGTCTGGAGTGTGTGTTAGTGTCACACAGCCTGTGTCGGGACAGCCTGGCCCCATCGTCACAGCTGGGAGGTGAACAAGGGCCACCTGATCAAGTTTCTAGCCTTTATTTTTGGACACTGAAATTTATATTTCATACCAGTTTTTGTGCCAGAGATCTTTTGCTTTTTTCCCCTTACCCATTTAAAAACACAAATCTAGTCTTGTCTCAGTGTACACAGAAACAGACAGCAGTCCACTTTGGCCTGTGAGCCCAAATTTGCTGACCTGGTACCAGTACATTGTTTTGGGTCTGCTGGTTCCATTCCAGGGTTCCTGAAAAAGTCTCTTGTCTTCTCTAGTTGTTTGCATACATGTGATTATCATTGAGTTCATCAGCTACTCCGAACCTCACCTGATACTAGAAACGGTTGGGGATGGAATGGGAAGTTCTATGCTGAAAGCCATGATGTGCTTCTCTTGAATCAAATTAAATATGAACTAGGATCTCTGGAGCTGAAGCCTAAGAAGAGTTTTTTGGTGTTATTCTTGTTGTGCGCCATTTAGTTTGATCTGACCAGCAGACCTTTCAGCAGTTTTCAGAGGCAGTAAATGGAATGGAAGGAGATTGAATCCACCAGCAGCTCCACAGGAGAAAATGGGCAACCGCATGACTTTGGGATTGCAACACAGGTTCTTAGCACTAGGCCCCAGAGCTCCCTTTTTGGTATTAGAGATTTTGTTTTAATTATTTTTTTACATTTTAATTTATTATTTTTTGTGTGTGTACTGTCAAATCGGATCTGACTGGTACAGGAGGAGACTGTCCCTCCTTCTCCAGCAAAACATCTGGTGTATTTGAACCACATACCTCTGGGATTGCAGTGCAGCTTCTTGCCACTAGGCCACCAGAGCTCCCTTGTTTTAATTGTTTTTATAAGATTATAAAACAGTATATGCTTATGGTAAATCAGTTGTAAAGCACAAACAAGTATGAAATAGAAGGTGAAGGTGCCTCTCGGGTCCCACTTCTGAAAGATAAGCTTGTGTAGCTATCACAAATTTCTGTGTCTAGTAAACGTACCTCTGTATATCCTTTAAAAATGCTAATACACATGAGATCACAGTATATGTCATCTTTTCAACTTCAGTTTTTCTGTGTTTTTTACTGTATCTTAGATTTCCTTTTCCTCTCACCTATTCTGCATATGTGACTCCAGCAGGAGGCTTACGCACATCTGAGGTGGTGGGAAGGACAAGGCTTCAGTGTGTCCTTCATAGAATTGCTGTGAGCTGTGGGTACATTGATGGCACCTAACAGCAGTGTACAGATAGTAATGGATTCCAAAAGTCCATTCACAATTCCTTTGTGATTGTTGTTGATTGCTGTCTAGTTGAGCACAACTCATAGTGGCCCTATGAAAGGGCCTGAAGCCTTTCTGTAACTGTCATCATTTATCAAAAGTCATAGAGTTTCCAGAGGTATATTCTTTAGGAAGTGGATGCCATTCCTGCTTCCAAGGAACCTTTCCTTTGTTACACAGAAAAATAATTCCTGAAATGACAGTGGCATCTTTATATGTCAAATAAATGTGTTCAGATTTGGTAAGAAGCTAGCAGAAAGTTTCAGATAATAGAAGGAAAATGGTATGTTAACAATCTGAATCTAAATGAGAGGCAAATTTTAGAAGTCCTCTGTACCTTCTTCCTGTATGTAACGTCCCTGGAATCTGTTTTCCTGCCAGCTTGTAGCTCTGTCCTTTCCAATGGCAGTTAGGAAATAGGCTTGTGTTGTGTACTTTATTAAACCTAATTCTTGCACGTTGAGATTCTTTCTCATTTTAGATGATTACATATAATTGAGCAAAGATGTACAAATAATTAATTGTACATCTCTCTGAGTAAATAATGAATGCAGTACATTAATACAGTGCATGTAGGGTGACGTTCTGGTTTTTGAAGTTTATTGGTCAAAGGATAATTATATCTTGGATTTTGATTGGTGTTCCCATACTTGGGCAGATGTAGTTTGAAATCAATTCCAGAGACGGCCCATGCGATCTTGAAGCTTGGTGCTCCTCTGGCACAGGTCTCGAGAGGCTGTGGTCATCGCTGCTGCGCCGGGGCAGAATGCCTCTCGAGGGCCAGCTTTCCTTCCTAGTTGGTATCACTCAAACCCTGCAGCGTTGCCTCTAGAATCTTCTTTTTCTTGTTAAAAAGCTCACAACAAATGATAGGGGTCTGTACAAGTAAAGCTCCTGCTCACAAAACACCCCTCAACCTTGAGTAGGTGAGGGATGTGTTCTAACATGTTCCCAGAACTGGAGGATTGGAGACCCTGTGGGTAGGGTGTCCTTTTCCAAAGGTGAGTGATTGATTAGGGATTGTAAAGAGTGACACTGAGGGGCCTGTGACGTTTCTTACAATGAACACGTCCTTTTCTGCCAGTGCAGCATTTGGCCGTATAGCTGAGCTGGTCGTGGCAGGAGGGGTTGGTCGTATAGCTGAGCTGGTCGTGGCAGGAGGGGTTGACCATATTGAGGAACCGGCCATGGCGGGAGGGTTTGGCCATATAGATGAGCTAGTAGTGGTGGGAGGACTTGGCCGTCGAGGAGCCTTGGCCGGATGAAGGAGCCAGTCATTGTGGGAGGGCTTGGCCGTATTGAGGAGCTGGTCATGGCAGGAGTTGGCCATATTGAGGAGCTGGTCATAATGGAAGGGACTCCCGAATCAGTGCTGCTGTCCTGAAACCAGCTCACCACATGGGCAGCTTATCTCAGGACATAGTCTGAGGGTAGTTTGAAGAATCTTGACCTTGATTGGACATGAGTTCTTGCTCAGGACTTGCCCTGTAATTTCAAGCTCATTTTACAAATATCATGTGTCTCTGCGTGTCTTTCAGTGCAAATGCACGTCCAAGTCAGTTCTTGGGAATCGCCCAGTATTCTTGCTGTGGCTCTGAAAAGAGAATGAAGGCCAGCCTGCTCTGAAAAGCAGACTGCATGATGTGTGGCTCGGAGGTGCTGCGTTCCCAGGAACCTGAGCATGAACTCTGTCATTGGTCCTGCACACACTCAGGCTTCCACAGGAGCATTTCTTAAGTCTTCTGTGGTAGTATTTGAGGATAAGAATGAACTGTTCACAGCCGTGACTGGATTGTATCTCAAGTTAGAGGCTGTCACCAGCATTTTCAGAGAAGTGAGCTCAGATAGACAAATTCCCATACCCCCAGTGGTAGTTAGGCTCAGTCCTGCTTGTTGTCTCTGCACACACGTGTGCACTAGTGCCCTGGGCTGTGAGGAACTGTCCACTCTTGAGATGTAGTAAAGAAAAGGGGAAGCCACTGTGTTAATAGTGAGGAGAGAGTTTATAAATACGAGTTGTTGGGCTGTGTGATTAATGCATTTGAGACACATGCAGGACAGAGGTGGGTCTCTGTTTTATGGAGGAAATAGAGCTAAAACACGTTGTTTGTGGACCTCTGTTGCTGTTAGCAGGTTGGTGGGCTCTTGTCTGAAGTCATTCAGATAGAGATTGTGTGGTCATGACCAGCATCGTTCTTTTCCACGCTCCTCCAGTCAGTGCCACTCAGTGTTCAAAGAATCAGAAAATACTGCAAATACGGAAACAAAATCTTGAACATTCTTTTTGATCCTAAGGTGTGTTATGTGTTGGGCTGCCAGCCCAAAGGTCAGCAGTTTGAATCCAGCAGCTGTTCTGTGGGAGACAGATGGACAGTGTCCTCCAGTAGAGATAAGCCAGCTACCTTGGAAACCCTGAGGAGGAGTTGTCATGAGTCAGACAGGCCGGCCGCGCTGGGCTTTATAACCATCCTGTGCCGAATGTGAGCAAGGAGACAGTCTCTTGTCTCCCAGGACCTCAGCGGCTGTGCTTTCCCCATTATTCTCTTCCTTGCCGTCTCCACTTTATTTTGGGGGGAGGTTGACTGTGAGATGTTCTGTAGCTGATTTGAGGGAGCTCAGTGGTCACTGGGGATCTTTTCCAAGCCAGTCTGTTATGTGGGTGACAGGTGGTCATCAGGAGTGGCTGCATTTCCAAGTTCAGGCATTACCTCAGGGAGCCTAGTAAATCTGTTGGGGTTTGCTCTAATTGTTCCTCACATTCTGGCGGATCTTCTCTGTGTCCCTGCTCAGAACGGTCATTCATGGTCACCGGATACCTCCTAGTCGGGGTTTGGGCCGGAAGAGGGCCAGACTCTCACGGCTGTTAATCCTGGACACGGACTTCTTCCCTGGAGCCCCTGCTGGCTTTCTCATTCCCTCGCTCCAGTTAGGAAGACGCTAACAGTTGTATCTTAGATGGCAGCTCACAAATTCTTTATTTTCTTTTCCACTTATGAGCTTTAAACCTCAGATACTATTTACTGTACTATTCAGACTCGCGCAGGTGTTCCGATCACTCAGGAGGAGCTTGCCCATCTTTCTCCCTAGGTGCAGCTTGTAGATTCAAACCACCAGTCTTTGGGCTGCAGCTCAGTTCCTTACCACCAGGATTTAGAAGATCATCTTCGTGAATGGTGGCGTGCTGGTTGACACGGTTGTCCCATGGGTCTGTGGTCCTAACCCTTCACTCGCAGGAAAGTAGTCCTGTGAGGTGTTCAGTCTGTGGCTGAGCCCTCTGTGAGGGTGAGTAAGTAGATGGCTGTTTGGAGCACACAGCATGCCTAGCTTCATTGCACCTCTCTTTACTGTGTTTCATAGATGATGTTTTTTGAAGAACAAAACCATGTTGATTGAAGGTTTTGTGCAAACTTGCAGTCAGGAGGCCTGTTGTGCCTCTCTTCCAACAGCTTGTACTCACTTTGTCTCTGTGTCTGAATTTTAGTTGTTCTCAGAATATCTCAGACTTTTTTCATCGTGTTCTTGCACACTAACTAGACCCGGCATAGTATGAAGACAACGCTTACAGGTACAGGAAACAGACTCACGTGACTCCAGTAACTGCCCTGCAGTGTGTGAGGTGTGCCTCACTCACGGACACTGTGTCTGTACGAGTGTTCACATGCCTGCTTTCCTGTGCAGTCACATGTATGCTTCATTGATTATGACTGTTGTTAGGGAGCTCTGGTGGTAAGAAGCTATGCTGCCACCCTGAAAGCACGCAGTTTAAATCCACCAGTTGTCCCACGGGAGAAAGATGAGCATTCTCTTCCCGTGCAATTACTGCTTCAGAAGACCTGCTGGAGGCTGCTTTTAACTCCGTGATAGATAACAACATCATTGTTGTTATAAAATTGTATGTTACAGATTTGTCACAGTTGTCCTTATTTTTATGTCCTTCTTAGTGACTTGATTTACCTCAGTCAAGTTGTGCAGACTTCACCCATATTGCATTATTTTTATTGTGTTGTGAGCAGAAGTTTACAGAGTCAATGGTTTTTTGTTCCTCCATTCATACAGGTTTTGTCCTTTGGCGTCTCAGTCCCACTCTGTAGCCGCCGTACCCCTCCCACGTCTCCTGGGATTCTGGTTTTTATTCCTCCTGCTGTCCTCCCTGTCCTGCCTCCTGTACTTGATCTCTCAGCAAATCCTTTTATTCAGATCAGTGAGTGCTTCTGCATCACTTCATCCCCACTTCTGCCAGGGCATTTCAGGCTCCCAGCCGTCCTCCATCAGGTGGGCCAGGCTGGAAATCTTTAGAAGAGACCATTTTCCTTCTGCAGAGCATCTGGTGGTTCGAACCGCAGACCTTTCAGTTAGCAGTGAAGCCCACAGTGCACTACACTACACCACCAGAGCTCCTTAAACACCCTGTTGGCCAGAGTGGGCAATGACTTACTCTTAGTTCTTTCGCCAGTGTATGTTGTTGTTTGTTGTTTTGTGCCGTCGAGTCGCTTGCGACTCATCGCGACCCTATGTACAAAAGCCCTAAACTCTGCTCTGTCCTGTGCCAGTCACACTGTCTCTGACACTCCCATCCCGATTACCCCAGTCACTGAATCAATCCACCACATCGAGGGCCTTCCCCTCCTGCGCTGTCCTTCCACTCTACCAAGCATCATGTCCGTCTCCAAGGACCAGTCTCTCCTTACAACATGCCCAAAGTATGTCAGACGGAGCCCCAGAATCCTTGCCTCCAAGGAGCCGCCCGGTTTGACCCTTTCCAGGATGAATCTGTTTGTTTTCCTAGCAGAACACCAGTGAATAGGCTGTGTATATCCCTTGCCTCTAGAGAAGAACTTTGCTTAAAAATCTGACTTCTACCTTGCCAGTGTTAGAAAAGTCGTTCTTGTCCCTGTCCTCCTATGACCCCTTCTTCCTGTCAGGATTGACTTGTGCTTAATGCTTTCCTTTTGTCCATTCATGAGGCGAGCCCTTGTGCAGATCCAGGTAACGTGAGTCAGGTTTCAAAGTGACCTGACAGCCAGTTCTGGGGAGCCCAGCTGCTGGTCGACCATTAGCAGCGTAGCTTATGAACGTGGTTAAAGAGTTTTCTCCTTCTGTTTAGAAGATGCTAATGTGTTCTGAAGCCTTATTTTTTATGATTTCTCCACTTTTAATCTGAGTGACAAGAAATGACCTTGCTAATTCGTCCTTATCTCCTGAGCAGAGTGTCTCCTTGTTTGGTTTCTCATGAGAGCCTCTGAGCTTTAGGAAGAGTTGCAGTGATCCTCCACATTTTCTCATTCCGTAGTTGATATGGTTAGAATTCATCATTCCAGAAGTTTCTCGATCCCTAGTGGTTAGACTCACTTTGTTTTCATCTCTCAGCTCTGCCTCAGTTTATTCCACAGCCAGACTTTCGGTGATGTGATGATGTGTTCTCCGTGGAAGCTTACGCAGTGGCTCCAGTTTGGTCATTTCCCAAGCTGTGCAGCAGCATTAGTCTCGTGTGTTCACGGTGTGTCCACGTTCTCTGTAGTGACATTCTGGCCCCTGTTCTTGGACTTCGGTTTCCTGCCCCTTCTCTTTGCCTCAGTTTGGCTGTAGCCTTCCTGGTCTCAGCTAGGTTGACCTCGAGATAGTTCCTGTGTGAGCTCTGGGAAACTTCTCAGGATGACCATCTGGACTGGTCCAGTGGGTCGAGACTTTTTAAGAAGTTGGGTTCTGCTCTGCGTCTTTCTCTTGTTTTATCACGGTCGGTCTGTTTTGTTAGCACCAGCTCGTGTCCTGGGTTAGGGAGGGAAACGCCCTGCTTCGTGCAGCGTCTCAGCCCTATACTTTAGTTTCTTGAGAGGCAGGTAGATCCAGCTAATTGACACTGTGATGACTATGCACAAGCTTTTTGTACCCAAGATGCTCTGCACTCACAAGGATAAGAAGTGGGATTCTAGGTGCTAGTGACGAGGTTACTCCCGAGCGTGCAGGTCCAGGTCTTTAAACCCAGAGGGCCTTTCTGCTGTTCTTGTACAGTGATTTGACCTTTCTGTGAAGTATTTACAGCTGTGTTCTCTGAGTCTCTATTCCCACTGCACATGTATGTTGTTGTTGTTAGGTGCGTCGAGTCGTAGAGGACCCATAGTGACCCTATGAACAAAAGGCCTGAGCACTGTTCATGGAGTTTCTGGAGGCAAGCTATTTTGGAAGTGGACGCCACTCCTGCTTCCAGCCTTGTTTTTATCGGGAAGCTCCATCAAACACTGTCCACCATGGGTGACCGTTATCACATTTGACACATCCCTGTCACAGTGTTCAGCTTCACCACATCCACTAGTTACTTCTGTACAACAGTGCACAGACCAGTGCTATACCACCTAGAAGAATGTTTGACAGAAAAACAATGTGAACCCGACCCGAGGGCTGGGTAGCATAACTTTCTGTCCACCAGGCTCATGTATACTTAATCTGTGCATATCTGTGTTGTACCTGCCTGTACACGTTTTACACATCTGTACTATGGATGGGTCCATACACCGGTTTTGATTCTTAATTATTATTGCTGACTGATGAGCGTCCTGTTGTTAGCACGTCTTCTCCTCTTGGGCACCCCTTGGTGGCCACGTTTACTCTGGTCAGGCCATTGGGTGCTGCTGCTTCCCCCTTCTCTGCCACTCCCTGGAACTACAGGTGAATCTGGTCTCTGTTTGCATACTTGATGGATTCTGCCTCCAAAGGAGGCGGTCACACATAGTTACCCTGTATGGTCGGCTTACTCCACTTAGCATTGTGTCTTCAGACCCACCCAGGGCTTTTACACAGACTCCCTGTTCTTCCTGGCCACAGAGTATTCTGTGCGTGTCCACATTTTGCCCATCTGATTATACTGTGGAGAACTCAGGGGTGGAGGGGGTTCCCGAGGTTTTTGCTGTGGTGACCTTACGCATGCACCAGCGTCCTGGGGCGGTAATTCCTGACAATAGTGTTGGAATTTGAGGAAGATCCTGACATGTTGAATGAGTTTCTTTGCTGCCTGTTTACAGAACTAGGGACAGTTGACTGTATCTGAAATCTCTCTTGTTTTTACCTAGTATGATGAATTAGTTCCGGCTTCGCTCACCACCAAATATGGAGGCTTCTACATCAACACCGGCACACTCCAGTTTCGTCAAGCATCAGACACTGAGGAAGAGGACGCTGGTGATAACCTGAAGCACAAGCCGCCGCAGGTACGTGTGGTCCCGGGCGCAGAGGTGGACCCTCGGCTTCTAGGTTGTCATTTTACATTCTGCTTATGCCTTAGCTCTGGTGTGAGGGACAGTAAAAGCCATTACATGCTTTAAAGAAAAATTACATAGAGAAGGGAAAATTTAAATGTTTAGGTCATAGAACGGTGGTTTTAAAACGTCTATTATGTGGCCTAATAATAAATTTCTAGAACTTGGTAAAGAAAAGATTGCTGATAGCCCCCATACCTTTCCTAAGATGTCTCTAGGACTATGTAGCCAATGTCTAAGACATGGGTAGATGAGTGACCTCAGATTTGGGTGGGAGTGAGGGATTCCAGGCCCCACCCAGACCACTGCACCAAAATTAGAATTGAGGTGGTCCTGAACCCCAAAGATCTGCTCTCTGTTTTTCCCCTGGATTTATTTATTTTTTTTTTTTTTTGGTTGAGAATGTGCACAGTACCTTTGCCAGTTCAACACTTTGTACCTGTGCATGTCAGTGATGTGGTTACGTGCCTCGAGGGCTACTCTAATCCACATCTTGTCCTGGGCTGTTGCTCTCCCACTAACAGAGACTCCCTGACTTCTGAGATCCCATCGCATCTTTATGGTGTGCTGCCCGTTTTCTTCTATGCATGGAGTTTGTAATAGGGTCCAGTGTTCTAGACAGACCTCTTCTCTTTGAGAAGCACGAATGTTGCTTGGCTGAGATTACTTCAGAAGACACTGTTCTTTAACCAACACTGGTTCTGCCACAGAAGAGGGAAGAGAAGTGCTGGTCAGGCCCCCTGTGGCTGGCATTGAGGGTGAAGCATTACCATCTAGATAAGGGTGCATTCTTTGTTCATTTTGTAGGTTTCCAAGATAAAAGAAGATGATATTGAGATGAAGAAGCGGAAGCGGAAAGATGAAGGGGAAAAAGAAAAGAAGCCCAGAAAGAAAGTACCTAAACAGCTAGGGTATGTGATACTGCAGGTGGGAGAGGGCACGATTGTCCTCAGTGTAACTGCCTGCCTCCCCTTGGGAAGGACAGACTTGACACCAGTTGCCCCGCTTACGCTGGGTCTAATATGGTGCTATACTTGTTTAATGGAGGAGGAACCCTGATGGCGCAACTGTTAATGCTTCACTGCTGAACTGAATGGTCAGTGGTTCAAACCCACCAACCAGTCGGTGGGAGGAAGGTGAGACCATCTGCTCTGCCTTGTTGGTCACTGGGAGGCAGCGTGGCCTGATGGCAGTGACACCTTCTAAGGCTAGTGAGCTTCTCTCGTTGAGAAAAGCCTGCTTTCTGCAGGTGTGCGTTTGGCACTCAGTTCTTTAGTCAACTCCTCTGCGTGTGATCTTAGCTAGAAGGCGGAGCAGTGATAGCTGACTCCTCTGCGTGTCTATGGCAGAAGGTGGACGTCCCAGTACCACTTGATGTGTTTAATAACCCCGAGCCCTGTTCACTGACTTGCTCCCTACTTTCTCATCACTGTGATGGCCCCTCACCTTACACAGGTGACTGAACCCCTGCCCCAGCTGAGAAGGTGCTGTTGTGAAAGTATCATTTAAAGAGAAATTACAATGTGAGCAGTTTGCTGTCACTTGATGATTTTAATACTCTTCCTCGCATTTACATGTGGTTTTACCCTTCAGAAGTACACATAGCCCAACCAGTCGTTTTCTTCTTTTACAGAGTCGTGGCACTAAATTCACATAAGCCTGAAAAAAAGAAGAAACGTTATAAAGATTCTCTTTCTCTTGCTGCCATGCTCCGGAAGTTTCAGAAGGAGAAGGATGCATTAAAGAAGAAGGAGTCAAGCTCCAAAGTCTCCATGACCTTACAGACCTCTGCTCCCAGCAAGCCCCCTTCCACTACCCTTGCACTGGGCACTGACGTCTCAGACTTGAACCTGAACAGTGCCGACCCAGACCTCCCAATTTTTGTTAGCACAAATGAACTGTTTCAGGAAGCGCAGAATGCCCTAGAGTTGTTCGATGACTTCGACTTTGACAGATTCCTAGATGCTGCTTCTGATGGCAGCCCATTGTCGGAGTCAGGCGGGGAGAATGGGGGCACCACGCAGCCAGCCTGCACCTCTCAGGGCATGCCCAAGCCAGCTCCAGTGCTCCCCGAGGGACTGCCAGTGCTGCTGGAGAAGCGCATTCAAGACCTGCGTGCTGTGAGTGGGCCCGACTTCTCTTTGTCTGTCTGTCTGTCTGTCTGTCTGTCTCTCTCTCTCTCTCTCACACTCCCCCTCCCCCATGTGGTATGGCAGCCTGCCTTCTACTAGAAATCACAGTCGTGATTGAGTGCATGCAACTATTATTGTACTGTCTTCATGTTCCCTGGCCACATAACCATTTCTTTGCCTGGGGCCCTCATGTCCCGGTTCACTGGCTGCCTGATCACATGGAATCTAGAAGGAAGTATGGAACAGTAATAACATGCCAGAAGTGTGCCTGAACTTGGTCCACACTCTGTTGGTATCTCGTTTTCGGTGGTAGTTTTTCCTGGTATCTGGCTGGGGTTTTTTGTTTTTTAATTTTTATTGTTAGTTTTGTGCATGTACTGTCAAATCAGATCTGACTGGTACAGGAGATTGTCCCTCCTTCCCCAGCAGAGCATCTGGTGGATTCGAACCTTGCACCTCTGAAATTGTAGTTGCGGCTCCTTGCCACTTGGCCACCAGAGCTCCCCTAGGTATCTGGCTGTTTTAAGGTCTCTTTGACAACTACGTGGCAGCTGGGGTACCGACGCATTTTCCTCCGTTCCACAAGGATGAGCCCTTGGATTCTGAGGCGGATCATGCTCCAAGGTTGGGTCCTGGTCTAACTTGCTGCAGATCCAGTCATGTTACACACATTTTTCTGTTTTATTTAAGAAAATATTTTAACTTAAAATGAGCCATATCTAGCACAGAATGCCTTTTTGCTTTTTTTTAAAAAAGAAAGTATCTTTTGCATATTCATTTAAACTCATGCTGCTTTTTTTTAGTAGGTGTGTAGAGGTTTGTTGTTTTGTGTTTTTTTTTAATTCAAGTAATATGAGTCATAAGGCGCTCTGGTGACTTAGGTAAGGAGCTGTACTGCGAGTACAGAAGTATGTGGTTCAAATCCTCTAGCTGCTCCAGGGGAGACTGACGGGCAGTCTCCTATGTGATTCACTGTTTCTGAAAACCTGCTGAAGGGTCAGCTGTGCATTGATTCAGACTTGATAATACTCAAGACAGAACGTGTGTAAATCCTTAACTCTACATTCCTAGAACTAGATCTTATTAACGGACCTGCCAGGCTGTTGTGGTTGTCTCGTTGGGTGCCGTTGAGTCAACTTCAACTCCTAAGGGCTCTCAGTACAGCAGAGCCCTTCCCAGTGCTGTGCTGTCCTCACAGCCTGTGCTGTGCTGACAGCCGCTGCCATCTCTAAGTCAGACTCTTGAGGCTCTTCCTTCTTTCACTGACCCTTCGCTGTTCTCAGCATGATGTGCTTCTCTAGGCCTCTTCTGATGACATGCCCAGAACGGAATGGAGTCCACCGTCCGCGCTTCTAAGGAGCAATCTGGCTGCACCTCTTCTAAGACAAATCTCTCTCTTCCTTTGGCAGCCCACGATGTAATTCCACATTCTTTGCCAGCACCACAGGTCAGAGGTGTCTGGTCGTCAGTCTTCCTTAGTCATTGTCCAACTTTCATATCCGTATGACGCAGTTGAAGATCCTGTGACTTGGGTCAGGCACATCTTGGTCTCTAAGCTGACAGCTTTGCTTGTTAGCACTGTGGAGAGGTCCTTACAGCCTTGCCCAGTGCAGTGTATCCTTTCATTTCTTGACTCCTGCTTTCATGGATGTTGCACTTGAATCCTCCAGTTCTGAGAGAGTATGTTGTGTCATGGTCATTGTTACGGCAGCTGCAGGAAACTAACGTACTATCTGAGCAAGTCTGGGTCTCGGGAACCTGCTGTCTTTTCAGGCCACCACTCACAGGGTCTTCTCCTGAAGGAAGTTCTTTGGCTTTCCTCACTAGATATTCATCTCAAAGTCATTGTTTATTGTGTTGCTTACATTGACAATTTTCTGGTTTTTTTCTAGGCTGCCAAACTTTTTGATGAAGAAGGAAGGAAAAAATTCTTCACGCAGGATATGAATAATATTCTTCTGGAGTAAGTAGTGTTTTTCTTTGGTGAAGAAACTGTGATGTACAGAAAGCCTTTGAGACGCTACTAGTTGAGTCCTCTCTGTCAGCCTCCCAGAGCGAGCTTGTTTGGTTCTCATGGACCACTTAGGACAGTCAGGGCCGCCGTTGTGTGGCCTGAGAGAGTGACCACTGTGTCGGCTTGATAGTACCTAGACTTAAACGTAATTTCTGCTGCTAGCATTGAGCTGGTAACCAAAAGGTCAGCAGTTTGAACCCACCACTGCTCCACTGGAGAAAGATGTGACCATCTGCTTCCCTGAAGAGTACCGCTTTGGAAATCCCAGGGGGCAGTTCTGTTCTGTCCTGTATTATTACACAGCATTCTAGAAAACTCTGACGGGGATAATTGATATAATTCCACTTCTGCTTTTATTACGCGTGTTGTTGTTAGATGCCATCGAGTTGAGTATGACTCACAGCGACCCTGTGAACAAAAGATCTGAAGCCAGTCCTGTCCTGCGCCATCCTCATGCTTCCTGACACACAAGGGCTCACTGCAGCAGTCACTGTGTCAGTTCACCTGGTTGAGGGTCTTCCTTTCCTTTGCTGACCCTCCGTCCTTTCCACCGTCATGTCCCTCTCCAAGGAATTGCACCTCCTAGCAACATGCCCAAAGTGTGTGAGGCCAAACCTCATCATTCTTAACTCCAAAGAGCACTCTGGCTGCATCCTCTCCAAGATGTTTCTGTTCGTTCTCTTGGCCGTCCATGGAATGTTGTTCAGTGCTCTTCTCCAACACCACAGCTCAAAGGCATCAATTGTTTTTCTGTCATCCTTATTCGTTGTCCAGGTCTTGGATGCATCGCTAATAATCAGAAAGGCTGTGGCCTGAATCAGGCATCCCAAAAGAATTCTGTTGACCCCCTAGTAGAGTTGCTTGTAATACATACAGATATTTATATAGCCAAGCAGAAAGTATGACTGCATTTAAAAAAAAAAGATGATTGTGGAGTGGGCTGAGCACTGTGCAAAAGACCGAAATTAGAGCAGAAAGGACTGCAGTGAAGGGGCTGGTATGCAACGTGGCCTGTGTTCCTTTCTTTAATTCCAGATTTTGTTTTTGGTGAAAATACGTACAGCTCCAGATGCTCCCATTTCATCCCAAGTGTCAGCTCTGTCTGCTCTGTGTTTTCAGTGCTCAGTGTCATCGTTCTTGTCATTTCTGGTCTCCTCATTTCACTTCCGTTGACTTACTCCCCCTCCTCCAGGTCTTCTTCTGTGCTTTACAGTAGCTCTTTGATCTCCGGTAGATGAATCACAACCACCAGGTTGGTCTTGGCTCTTCTGACTGTTACTTAGTGGTGACCTTAGGGGATAATTTCAGTTCCGTTTGAAGAGCTGTTAGAGTCTCGGACTCCTCCAGTTCAGTGGGTCCAACCAATCGAGATTCTTTAAGAATTTGAAATTCCACATTGCCCTCCCTCGTGTTCAGATTTATCAGCTCTGTTTTATTTCAGTGCTGGACGTTCTCTGGACGCTGTCTCATTCTCAGGTCTCGGGTGGGAAGGCCGTGGTTTGTGCAGAGAGTGCACATTCACCCCTTTCCCCACGTGCAGCTCAGTGACCTTAGAAAGGTTGGTTGTCCTGTGCATATTCCATTGATATGCTCGTTTCCGTAAAGAAACGGGGACTGCGGAGGAGTAGATAGCCCTCCCGCCCCAGGCGCACTAGTGGACATTGATGTGGGGCGCTGTCTGTAGAACAGCAGACTGGAGCCCCTCCCAGTCCTGTTCGTGTCCCCAGCTGTGCTGTGTTTGCGTCCAGGGCTGGACTGGTGGAGGGTCTTCGCCTCCCCTGTCTGGTTGCTATGAGTCGGAATTGGTGACAATGTATAGTGAACATTAGCTTCTGTTTTTACCTCTTTTCAGATGCTATTTAAGTGCTGGTTTTTACACTCCTAATGACGCTTAGACCCTATAAAGCCATTGAGGTATACCTCAATTCTGACCATTGGTGGTCGTTGCTGTGTGTAAGAGACTCCACGCAGAACTTAGCCAGAAAGGCGTTGAGCGTGGAGAAAGCAGCAGGCTTTGCTCTCTCTCCTCTTGTGAGGGCACCTGCCAGCGGCCGGGGGGCCCAGAGCATCTCCTAGAAATAAGTGCAGAGCAGCCTTTCTGGTACAGTGATCCCTGTCTGACAAGTATGTAGTGGAGACAGCTTGTCGTGGGAGTGAAGGAGCAAGTTCTGGAGGCTGTTGTGGTTAACTGCCCTCCTCCAGTGTTGTTGCTCTAAGATCCTGAGCTGGTTCTGACTCCTCCCAGCCCCACACTGAGCAGAGCAGAGCCCTGCACTGTCCTGCACCAGCCCAGGTCCTGACTTCTCCCAGCCCCTTGTTCAGCAGAGCAGAGCCCTGCACTGTCCTGTCTGTGACTCGTTCTTCCCACTGGAGCCCTGACCTCACTGATCACCTTCTGTGATTGGAACTCTTCTTGTCTTTGTCACACTTCTATGAGAGGGAACAACTCTCTGTTCCCGGGGGATGTCTCATGACCATCCTCTGGACCTTAGCATCGTGCGTTGGCAGAATGTCTGAAAACATGGCCCCACGTTTCCAGGAGCTTGTCTGTCTTTCTTGGATCTGCACCCCAGTCCCTAGGCTTGCAGGGTAGTGCTCGCTCACTTAAGGAAGATGGAAACTGGACCCTGAGCCAGAAGCTGGTGGGGAGAGTGGCGGGGCTCAAGGAAGCGAGCCCTGGACCAAGGTCAGAAGGACCTCATTAGTCCTAATCTGTGGCAGCTTCTGTGAAGTCAGACTTAAGTGGTGGAAATTTCTAGTTCTGCAAATATTTCTTGGGCTTTAGAGATTGGAATCCCTAGTAGGGAAGAAAATACCACAGCTGGGATGTTGGGAACGTGTGCCTAAAATGTGCAGCCCTTCTTGGGAGTGTTGAGCGAGCGGCGCCTCACGGACAGCCGTCTCTGAGATTTGCAGGTCTCTTGGTCTCATCTTTACGCAGTACCTGTCCTGTCTGTCCTGGGCAGGGAGTCTGCTCTCTTGGCCCCAGTACCACCTCCTGGGAAACCACCCGACTGTCAGCTTTTTTAGTTAGCCTGCCTCTTACCTGGAATCTCTCAGCAGTTGGCATTTCTCTTTTAGGCTCATCGTCAACTTCTCTTTGGGAAACCTTAAGGCCTCCTGCCCAGACTTTTTGATAAAGATCTAACTACTTACTGTCATGCATCTGGAAGACCCGTGTAAAGCCCGTGGTCATAGCGATGTTTCTATGGAATCTGTGCTCTTCACAGTCCTGCTTTTCTTGTGGTTCTGTGTTGCCTGTCTGGCTTGAATGCCGTTCTTCTGTTACTGGTGGTTGGCCATGCTGCTTCGCTTCTGCAGCTGTTCTCTGTCTTACCAGGGGTGGAGACACCTGTAGTGGTAGAGCTGCTTCCTCAAGTCTTGGGTCCTTGGATGCGTTGTAGAATCGGCACTTAGGTCTGTCTTCACCTGCCATGCTTTAAAGTGGTTTGTTGCCCAGAGCCAGAGTCTGTTGGTTACATTTGAACCTTCTCCTGTAGCAGGTGCTTAGTGGAAGGCCTTCCATCTTGGTAGGAACCTATTACCCTGCTGAAAGTAAAATGACTATTACAAAGTATCTTTCTTTTAAAAAAATAGGACTTCATAAAAATATGTATGTGTATCACTTTTTCTGCATCAGAGAGTTGGACAATGACCAAGGAGGATAGAAGGAGAATTGATGCCTTTGAACTGTGGTGCTGGAGAAGAGTATTGAGAATACCATGGACTGCTAGGAAAACAGATTCATCCTGGAGAGGGTTAAACCGGGTGGCTCCTTGAAGACAAGGATTCTGAGTCTCCGTCTAACATACTTTGGACATGTTGTAAGGAGAGACCAGTCCTTGGAGAGGGACATCATGCTTGGGAGGGTGGAGGGACAGCGCAGGAGGGGAAGACCCTCTATGAGGTGGATTGATTCAGTGACTGGGGTAATCGGGATGGGTGTGTCAGAGACAGTGCAATTGGCACAGGACAGAGCAGAGTTTAGGGCTGTTGTACATAGGGTCGCTATGAGTCGCAAGCGACTCGACGGCACATAACAACAACATAAAGTTGATACATGTATGTGTCTGTATTTGTACATCTGTGTAAACATGTAATTAGTAGGGAGCTCTGGTGGCCTAGTGGACAGGGAGCTGTGTTGTGAATCCACAGGGGATGCTCCTGGCAGTTGGCATCTGCTGGGCGCTCCATGGGCATTCTCCTCCTGTGCGGTTCACAACTTCCGGAAGTCCACTGATGGTCAGCTGGGAGTTGGTTCTGACTCCGTAACTATGAGAGTGAGTGATAAAACGACAGGGCTGGATCCCTATTTAGTGACTGACTGACTTTCTCGTGAACCCAGTTTATAAATAGAAACAGGAACGAGAGGCTTTGACCAAATGAACACTCCATTCTCTATCTACTTCCTGTGGGTCAGGGTCACAGAGACAGCTAGTAGACCATGTGTGTAACCAGGGAGTTTTCTGGCTGCTGAATGAACACATGACTTTTCCAGATCCTCTTTAGAGAAAACATGAAAAAGAAAATAAGTTGGTGATCACTCTGCATCTGTCACATGGCGTGGCAACTGCTGGGAGGCACGAAAGTTACTGGGAAAAACACACTCCCTCAGTTATTTGTGGGGGTCCCTGCGATTGTAAGACACAGACATCGGCCCTGTTACAAGGACCATTTGTCTGTTTGCTTAGAATGATGTTTATAACTTCTGCTGTCAAACGTACTAGGCTCAGAGCATTTTCTCGTAATGTCAGCGTTTGTTTGAATGCCTTTGCCAGTGAATAAGCTGCCTCGGGAGCGATGGGAGGGCGCACTGAGGAGGGCGAGAGCTGCCTTGGTGTCCTGCCTGTACGATGCTCTGAGAGAAAGGCTGTACCGTTTCTTTCTTGTTGTTGGTCAGCATTGAGTTGCAGCTGCAGGAGCTGGGCCCCGTCGTCCGGAGCGGTGTCTATTCCCACCTGGAAGCCTTTGTGCCGTGCAATAAGGAGACGCTGGTCAAACGTCTGAAGAAGCTGCACCTCAACGTCCAGGTAAGAGCTACTCCTGTGCCCTAGGCTTCGTGAGAGAAGAGATGGGTTTCTACATGGGGTCTTCGCACACGGATTGCTTTATGGTCCTGTCGTTTATCTCCAGTCACTGAAAGAGGCCGTGAAAGGTGTGCTGGGTGCCCCGAAGACCGGTCACTCTTCCAGCAATTCTTTTTTAAGATGTAGACTTGGATTGGAAAGTTTATACTGGTCCCAGGGCTAGTCAGCTTTCTAACTCGGATTCTTTTTGACCCCTGTAATGGATGTAACATCTGCCTTAGATAAGCTCACACGGACCAGTGTGAATGAAGGCCAGTGTGGTGAACTGAAGGGTTGGGTTTGACTGTGACTGTGACGTGACCGAGTCCTGTCACCTGTGTGGTCCGTGCCGCAGCCCTGCCTGGTGAGCGTCCAGGCAGGAAGGCAGTCAGGAACCACCCCCATGGCAGCGCGCCAGCGTCAGGACCACTCTAGGTGTGCAGCAAGGCCACTGCTGCCCAGCTGGTGGACTGTCCTCGCTGAGGCTGGCCACTGCCCCTACACTGTCCTGCTGCACAGCTCTGCGTGCTTCAGACATCTCTCCCAATCCCTCCTGCTCTCTGTGAGAATGGGTTTTGGTGCCGTCACTGTCCCGGTTCCTCTTCATGTAACATGGAGAATTTGCCTGCCTCTGTATTGGTAAAACATTTAGCATTTACAGCTGTAGGAAGTAACCTTGACTGTAGCTTAAGGGGGAAAAGGGAGTTTTTGGTAGCTAAGAATTTTTTTATGGCATTAAGGGGACCTGGGCATGAGGCTTAGCTCTGTTCTCCCTCTCCCCTCCGCTCCCTTTTGTCCTTCCATGGGTGTTTGCACTTGAGCGGACTTGCTTCCCACATTTTTGTTCCCAGAACATGTTCTGCTCTCTCACCTCAGCCCACATTCTTGGACAGAGAGAATGAGTCTCATTATCCTCTGTTGAATCTGTCTAGACTTTTCTGGCCAGGGGATGGGGGTCCCACAGCACAAATGTGGTGTCCAGGACTCATGAGGTTGGAGTGGGCTGCACCGCCCTGGACTCACTATAGAATGCTGTTGCTTCACTGATAAACATTGAGTGCTACAGAGAAGACACTGCACTTGTGTTAATAAAATGTTGTTGTTATGTGCCATCGAGTCGTCTGCGACTCACAGTGACCCTATGTACAACAGCCCTAAACCCTGCTCTATCCTGTGCCATTTTTTTTTAAAGGAAGCTAAAAAAGCTTTATTAAGAGGTCTCCTGGGTGGGATTCCTTGGTCTGCCTCGAGAAAAAACATCAGGACAGACCAGGGAAATACCACACCCTAAAGTGGATTAGGGCAGGTTTTATAGGAAGGGTCTTTAGGGAGGGACATTCCATTGTGGTTTAGCCAGGTGGGTGGTCCTCTATTTAGGGAGGGAAGGGGGGCCACTCTGGTAATTGAGGCTTTTCACTCCCTTTATTGACATGTTGATATTTCTTGAATCCTTTGTTCTCCTTTGACCTTGGTCCCAGCCTGACATCCCAGCCTCTTTAATGAGAAAAAGGGTGATGTATTCATTCTGGGTACTTCTTGCTGAACAGGGGTGAAGATCTGGGGCTCAGAGGCTGCACTGGGATGGCCCAGGACCAGTAGCCAGGGGAGAATATGAATATCACATATCCTGTGCCAATTTTATACACTTAGACCCCCACTACCCTAGTCACTGCATCAATCCATCTCATTAGGGTCTTCCTCTTCCTCCCTCTACCCTCTCAAGTGTGAAGTCCCTCTCCAAGGACTGGTCCCTTCTTACAACATGTCCAAAGTATGTCAGATGAAGCTTCAGAATCCTTGCCTTTAAGGAGCAGCCTGGTTTATCCCTCTCCAGGGTGAACCTGTTGTTCATTTTTTTAGCAGTCTACAGTATGTTTAATACTCCTCTCCAACACCACAGCTCGAAGGCATCAATTCTTCTGTAATCCCTGGTCATTGTCCAGCCGTCCCTCATAGCAAATGATTGCAAAGACTGGCCTGTATCAGGTGCACCTTAGTCTCAGCTGCCTGTCATAGCAAGTGATTGCAAAGACCATGGCCTGTATCAGGTGCTCCTTAGTCTCCAGGCTGACATCATTGCTTTTCAGTACTCTGGAGAGGTCCCTAACAGCGGACTTTCCCAACGTAGTATGTCTTCATACTTGGCTGCTGGTGCCAAGATTGTTGATTGTGGAGTCAAGCAAGCTAAAGCTGTTTACAATCTCAGTCTCTTCACCATCCATCACGATGGTGCCAATCAGTCCAGTGGCAAGAATCTTTGTTTTCTTGATGTTGAGTTTTAATCCATATTGAAGGCTGCTGTCCTTGACCTTTTATAGCAAACACATTGCAAGTACGTTTTACAAAAAACATAAACGCAGGCTATACACATGTATTTCACCTGATGGTATGCATAGACATTAGATCAATTACATCTGGAATCACTGGCGAAGCTTAATGTCAGCTGTGAAAACTAGGCCAGGTGCTGATTGTGGACAACAGACCACCAACTGCTCATAGGCAAGTTCAAGCTAAGGGAAATTAAATCCACAGGAACCAAAATATGACCTTGAGTCTATCCCATCTGAATTTCAAAACCATCTCTAGAACAGATTTGAGGCCTTGAAGAAAAGACCAAAATGGATGTCAGAGGAGACTGAGTGTTGTTAATAAAATACTTGTTTCTGATGACAAAACCATGCCTGGCTTGAACAAATGAGGTTTATGTGAGGTACCAGGTCAGCTGTGGATATTGGACTCAATGTGGAGAGGAGATGTAGGGTGAGGGAGTGAGAGAACTGGAAGCAGGAAAGCCACTCTGCAGATTCTGATGTATTTTCCAAGGAGCATTTCATATCTGACGTTGGCAGCTATTTGTCATCCCTGTTGGCTCTGAGAGACAGAGTGTCCTTGTTTCCTCCCCCACATGCCGTTTGTGCCGTTTGACCCCATAGTTTTGCGTCTGCGCCTGCTGTGTCCGGTAGTGGTGTCTGGCTTGGAGCTTCATATAAATGGAAGCAGACAGCTTGTGCAGTTTGCTTTTTTTAACATCCAACATCATCTACCGTAGATGTGTCCATGTCTTTGTATAGTGTAGAACTCATTTATTTTCACTGTGGTGCATAGAGTTCTCCTGTATGTGTACATCCCAGTTAACTTTTCTCTTTTGCTGTTGATGGCTGTTTGGGATGATCCAATGAACTTACATAATTGCTGGCACGTGGTCACCCGGGAACCATGGCCCTGGATGTTCAGTTTTTTTTATGGCAAATACTAACCAACCTCAGCTAACTCCACAGAGGGGAACGGACCCCATCAACGTTGTCGTTGTTGTGTGCTGTCAAGTCAAATACAACTCATAGCGACCCCATGTACAGTAACTCTGAACCCTGCTCTATCCTGAGCCAATCTCACTGTCTCTGACACACCTACCCTCATTACCCCAATTATTGTGTCAGTCCTTCTCATTGGGGTCTTTTCTCTCCTGTGCCATCCCTTGCCACTTCCAAGGGTTGATATCTTTCTCTAAAAACTGGTACCTCCTGTCTGTATGCCCAGAGCATTTGAGACAGAATCTCTGCTTCTAAGGAGCATCTTGGTTTCGTCCTCTCTAGGACAGATCTGTTTGTTTTCTTGGCAGTCCATGATATGTTTAATACTTTTCTCCAGCACCACAACTCAGAGGCATCAATTCTTCTTCTGTCATCTTTGGTCATTATCCACCTCTTTGATGCATAGCAGTAATTGTGAAGACCATGAGCTGGATTGGACACAGCTTAGTCTCTAGACTAGTATCCTTGCTCTCCAGTACTCTAGAGAGGTCCCTGATAACAACATTATCTGAAGTATAACACTGATCCCTATAAAGTCAGGTATGGTCCCCCACACTCCTGTACTTACTTCTGCTAATTACTGGGTCTGAAATTCATTGCAAATGGACCCGCAGACTTGACAGAATCTGTTTTTACTCGCAGTTGTGAGCTTTATTAAGGGAAACAGGTTGGAGGGAAGGCAAAGGAATGGTGAAAGTCCAGGTTAACAGCAAAACACAGTTCCTCAGCTTAGACCAGTACTGGCATATTTATCAGTTGTTCTGCATGAGATAGCTTAAAATCCTTATTAGCAGTGACATTTCTTTTCACTAATACTTACTTACTTAACATGATGGCTGCATTCTTAAAAACCCGCTTCCCCGAGCAATCCCACGTGAAGACAGCTGTCCTGGTGAGGAAGAATAAGGTTAGAGTCTGTTAGTTTTACCCGTGACAGTGATAAAGTACGTTTTCCGTAGTCCCTGGTGTACTTTGTTACTAGCGAGGTGAAAGCGGTTGAAGTTGTCGAACGAGCCTGCTTGTTTCTCAGATGCCACAGGAATGAGTGACTCCCGCATTCCTCCTCTCCCTCATTTCACCTTGACATCAGGAATAAGAAGCTGACTAGCAGCTTGGCAGCCGGCGCAGTCATGTTTTCCAGTATCCAGGGCAAGGTCGGCTGTGGCTCTAGGACCCCAGCATCGTGGGGGTCTGTGTTCAATCACTTGCATCACAGATAAAGGGTCAGATATTTTTGCTCAAATGTGGGCTTAGTAAGAAAGCAGAGGAGTGCTGTTAGTAATTATTTGAGGGCAGCAGTCAGAAACTGGGGCTCTTCCTGGAGCTAGGTAATCAAGCTGACACCCAGTTTGCATTACGAAAACTCATTTATGTGGAAGTACCCCCATTTAATATGCTTTGTCTTTAACAGAGAAACAGCTATAACCCTGGAGAGAGGGAGGGAAGGAATTACCTAGGAATAGGACAGATCCAGTGGGGATCTGAAAAGACGGGGCGATAGTGTGCATACATCAGTGGTGATTAATTTTGTAAGACACAGTGTATGGAAATGATCATACGAAACAATGTGAATGAAGGAATGTGTGAAATAAAGTGTATATGAGTTTTGAAAATGCTTTCATTATTAAAAGAGAAGATGTAAGCTATTTCCGAAACAAACCTTCCTCTTTGGGGTCCTTGCTTTCCCCTGCATATGGTCTCTGTGCTTCCTTCTCAGGATGATCGCTTAAGAGAACCGCTGCAGAAACTGAAACTGGCCGTGAGCAGTGTCATGCCAGAGCAGCTGTTTAAGTACCAGGAGGACTGCCAGGCGCGGAGTCAGGCCAAGTGCACCAAGTACGTGTCTCCTCTGGCTGGACCAGCTGCTGGGATTGGTCTTAAATGACCCCATTACCAAGCAGAAACTCCACTTCACCACGCAGGGGACATCAGAGTATTTTCTAAATGACAGGCCACTAGACTCAGTTGCGTTGATGTCAAAAAGTGGAGGAGGGCTGTAGCTCATGACCAAAGCAGGGTCTGGTGCTGGTCAGACATCGTGCGTGCTCGTTTGCCTGGCTGGGGTGAATGACTGTGACTTTACACCATAGTCTAAGAATGACCTTGTCCAGACGACTTTCAGAGTCGAAGTATTCCCTGGAAAGGTAGACGGATCCCCCATTTCTCTTGCGTTGATCATCAAGCAAGAAATTCAGTAAGTTCATGGAGCACATTATGATCACCAGTTGGGTTAAAACTCGACTTCATGTTATGATCTCGTCTCTAGACTGCAAACAGATGAAGAGCGAGAAAGAAATGGATCCGAGGACGATGATGATGACAAGCCAGGGAAACGGGTCACAGGACCGAGGAAAAAATTCCACTGGGATGACACCCTCAGGTGAGATGGGACTTTGGCCTTTGTGCAGCCAGTAGACAGAGCAGGGACAAGGGTCCTCAGCAGAGCGGGACCACCAGGTGCTAGGGTGTAATTTTATTACATACTAATTAGGTAATCAGCTGTTCAGCAGGAGGTAAATTTGACCCCAGAGTTCTGTAGTGTGCCATCACTTTTATTCTTGTATAATACTTTTTACATTAACTTTTTAATTACTTACTTACCCAGCCCTACTGATTTCAGCGGTAGGGTATTCTGTACCTCCCTGCTCAGAACACCAGTTTTTCTCTGCCCCAAGTGGAAAGTGTAGACTGTTCCTTTCAGTCTTGATGTTTTGATTAAAGGTGTCAGAGGACACAACTCTTTGTAGGGGATTGACAGTAGCACAGAAATATGTAAGAGATGATTTCCCTTCCTATTGTTTTCTGAAGTCTTCAGATGATATTCTGGGCCCTTGCTGTTAGATTTGTGTGCTTTTTAATCAGTCTGTTTAGAGCTTAATTTTCAATAATCTTGTAGTCAGATTTATATATAAATATATATTTTCAATCTGTTTAGAACTTTGTTATGTAACCTTGTTGAAATCAAATTGGGATGCTATGAGTTAGAGCCAAATAAAAGCCAGTCTGCCGAGGATTATCTTAAATCCTTTATGGAGACAGAGGTGAAACCATTGTGGCCTAAGGGCTGGATGCAGGCAAGGTAAGAAACGTAACGTCCTGGCTTTTTCTTTACTTTTCTGTCCTTACTGTTACTAAGCGCGCGCACACATGCGTGACGTTTTGCTAAGAACCTAACTTGCTCAGCAGTGCACGGCCAGCTCTGGTTGTCTCTGCTTTGAACACTTCAGGCACAGAGAAGACAGAGTGACAGGGTTGGTGACGTGTACAGGGGACTAGCACGGGCCACCTTTTCTCTTTCTGCACTCTGAATTGGCCAGGGTGAAAGGGCGAGGGCAGAGGTTAAGAACTCTGGGAGGGCAGCCACCTCTGGGCAATGTGAAAAGGAGGAACTGAGGGTGAGAATTTGAACACAGGGAAGTTACAGCCTCAGGCTCTGTTGAAAATAGTCCCCGTGGAGTGGTACTCAGGAAACTGGAGTAGCCCTAGCTTTAGGAATGTTAGAAATGAGTAAACATGGGTGTCTTACCTCACCAGGCTGAAGTGCTTCATTTTAAGGCAACAGGAAAGGTCTATTGGTCTGTGAAAAAATGTAAATAGAGACAATATAAAACTCCCTATCAAATGAATTTGGTTTGCCGTACCACTGCAACTTGGTAAATAGCCTGCGGAAAATCAAATGATTGAAAAGTAAATGAAGTGATTACTCTGTTACTGTTTGCTATGAAAACTAACGTCCTCGTGATTTTTCCAGAATGCTTTTTAAAGAAAGCCGGAGTGTGCACAACCATCTTACTTCTGCTCCGTGAGTAAAAGCAAACCCGTTCGTTCCTTTGTTTCTCTTCCTGCTCCACACGTTAGCGAGTGAGAACGCTGTTTGTGAAAGGACAGCTGAAGATAGGGCCTGCCCATCCACTGAGGCAGCCTCTGTTTTAAAAACGCCACCTTCAGAATGTTATTTTCAATGTTTACTGTTCAGACGTGAGGACACATTTTTTTGTATGGAAATCACTGTTGGGCTAGTCTCCAGAGTCTTAACTGAGTGGTGTTGTAAGTGGCGACTTCTGACAGCGGCCTTAAATATTGCTGTGTTGTTACTTGCTGTCAAGTTGGAACTGACTCCAGCTGACCTAGGTTTTCAGAGGCTCCGAATCGCATTGGAGGAGATTGCCTTTTTTTTACAGCAGAGTGTCTGATGGGTAGATTTGCTCCTGCCACCTCTGGGTTGGAAGGACCGTGCCTCACTTACTAGGGCCACAGATGCTGTGACCTTAAGTCCAGCGTAGCACGGAAATATGGCCTGTGTTGCTGAGTGATTTGGAGCTGTATAAATGGGCAGCATTGGGGATTTCTTCTTTTGACCCTGGGTCTTCCAGCCTATGTCTTTTTGTCCCCTTACCACCTGCATAGCTGACCTGCCACCTACACTGCCCTAAGTTAACCACTTAACTACATACTCATGCCTTCATTGCAGAAGGTTTTATCTACAAAAATTAGCCAACTTTCACACCCTGTATTTTATTAAAAATTGAATGTTTTGTTAGTGATCTAATTTAAAAAGTTCTCTTTTCTTCCTGGTAGAGAATTTAAAGGGCAAGCTATTTTCTATGGTTATGGTTTTTTGATGAATACTGGACAGTTCTATCAGTCTTACTTTTGCCTATGATTTCATAGCATACTGTAGCCTACCAGCAGAGAATTAGAAAAGTAGCAAGTAAAAAAAATGGTCTGTTTTGTGACAGTGTTAAAAAATTTCACTACTTGTAGATCCTTCCCACCCCAAGTTTCTAGGAAAGATACTTTGTTAGGATATTACCAGCACATTTAAGAGTTGGTTGTGGTTTTCGGGTCTTGTAATCCTTGTATTTTTAGTGTAAATTTTAGTTAGTTTGGATTCATTCCTTATAGGTTTGCTTTGTGTCAGATGGTTTTGTTTCCTCTGAAAAATATATCTTTGTGTCAAGAATATTTCTAATCTGTACATTCTAAAATCACACAGTTAGGGTATAAGTAGCTCACATTTTAAAAAAATTTAAATTGTAATTTTGAGTGAAAGTTTAGAAAACAAATTTTTTTTTCAACTATTCATACACATTTTTGTTTTATAACATAAATTTCTGTACCTACAATGAATAATTCATGCCTCAAATTCTAATGCAGGTTTGTTTTGGGGGTTTTAAAATTCATTTTATAATGATTTATTTACAAAGTTCAAATACATTGTTTCTCACACCGGATCTTTCCCATTTCCTTCACCACCGCCACCTCCATGAAATTGGGAGACCCTATGATTTAACACCACTACCCTCCCATCTTCACCCCTCTGCTTCCACCCTCGTCCCCCTTGGATCTTCATACTCATTCTACAATAATGGTTTTTATACAGTGTTTGCCCTTATAGGACTAAGTGAGTTCACTTAGCTGTCCCTCCCAAGTTAAGTAGTAATTTACAACATCATTGCTGCTGTGTACTATGTAGTATTCCATTGTGTGACTGTACCATAATTTCTCAATCTATTCACTTGTGGTTGGACATCTGAGCTCTTCTCATGTTCTTGTGATGGTGTGTAATGTTGCTCTGAACATTGCTTTCCAAGTCTCCATTTGTGAGTCAGTTCTCATTTTCTTGATGTATATTCCAAGCAATAGAATATCTACCTAGTTTCTCTGTTCAGCTTTTTAAGGAAGTGCCAAACTGCCTTTGAAAGTGGTTGTACCATTTTGCAATCCCACCAACAATGTAGAAGAAAGAGTTCCTTTCTCACCACATCCTCTCCAACATTTATTACTTCCTGTCCTCTTAAACTTTGCTACTGTTACTGGAGTAAGATGGTTTCTCATTGTGGTTTTGATTTTCATCTCTCTTACTGCCAGTGTTTTTGAGCAATTCTTCATGTGTCTGTTGGCCATTTGAATATCTTTCTCTGAAAATTCTGTCTCTTTTGCCCATTTTGTAATTGGGTTATCGGTTTTTGGGGTGGTTTTTTTTTTTTTTTGGTGGAGTTCCAGGAATATTCTGTAAACTTTCATTATGAGACTCTTGTCTGGGCAGGTATTGCTAAATGTTTGTTCCTAGTGGAGAGGTTTTCTTTTCATCTTGTGGGGAAAAGGTTTTTATAATGCAGGTATTTTTTAACATTGGTTTTCTGCCCTTAAGAATTTAAAATAACCAGTTCAGACTAACTTTGTCTTTGTACCAAAGAATACCATTATCAGTCTGTGGGATAAATGGGCCTGGAGATCAGAGCTGGACACAGTTACCCAGCTGTGAAAACCACTGCCCGGCAGAGCCGTTTGAATCTGGTAGATCAGCACAGTTTGGATCACATCTCAGTGCCCAGCCCTCAGCCCTCTGGCGTTCATGAGGCTCTTTCTACAAGGGAGTTTTCAGAGCTTGCACACCTGTTCACTCTGCTCTCCAGAGAGTCTAATATTTTATTGTCTCTTTCTCCTCCTTCCCTTCTCTCTTTCCCCCTGTTTTGACATTTTTCTTGTGAATCATTACACTTAAAATACACGAATGTTTTCTTCTGTGGGGTTCGGTTGCTTGTTTTCGGTTTTAAGTAGAATGTTAGTCCCAATGGGTGGGCAGAATTAAACTTAAGACTGAAGGGCCTTGAAGCTCTTGTTTTCCAGCCAATAATCATCAGTTCTTGCTTGTTCTTTGGGGCCAGTCTTCAGAGGCAGCTTTATTAGTCCGTTTTGAGTTATTTCATTGTTGTGCAAACGATTCCTTTTTTTTTAAACAAACAAATCTTATCACTTATTTAGATTATTTGTCCCTTTTTAAAAATTAGTTTTAATGAAAGTTTTCAGAGACTTAGGGTTTTCCATCATTTATTGTTGTACTTTTCTCGCTGTCCACCCCCTCCCCACCAATTTACGCTTCTCCTTGAAAAGTAAAAGAAAAACCCTTCCATTGTTATACAATCCCTCCCTCTAAGTCCACTCCACTGTGCATCCTTCATTCTGGACTCCTGTAAATCTTAGCACTTACATTTTATATTTCACTAATTATTTGGCCTTTCTCCAATCCAAATAGTAACAATTTTTCTAAATATTTTCATATGAATTTCTATTGTCATGTGTGACATCAGGTGGAAGCCTTTTCACAGCCAACCCTCCAGCAGGTTTTTGGAGACAGTAAATTTCAAGGGAGGAGACTTTCTCCTTTGTGGCAGCTGGTGGATTTGAACCACGTACCTTTGAGTTGGTAGCAGACCTGTAGCCCCACATACGGAGTGGTTATATATAGTTTCTTTTCTCAAAGAACTTGCCCAGCATTCAGGTAGTATTCCCCCTCGGTATACAGTTGTATGTTATAAATGTTCTAAACTCTACTGACATGACTACATTTTCTGTCCTTTCCCTTAGGGCAAAGAAAAAGGTGATTCCTGCACCTAAACCCAAAGCGAAGGTAAGTACCAAACCAAATTGTTAATTAGTTACCATTGTTGAATGTTGAAGTACATCCTTAAGATAAAACTTAGGTTTAGAACAGATCAGTAGGCCGTCTATGCTGAGATGGCTGTCCCTGAACTTCCTCTTGTCCGAGATCTTTTGCATTTGGGAGAAGAGACTGCACGGGGGAATATTTATATCCAATAACTTAAACTAACAACTTTAATACTGCTTACATTTACAGATATAATAGAACAGATGCCTTTAAAAGAATAGCTGGAATTCCATAAATGTGGGATTGCTTTTCCCCGGCCCATGGCCCCCGGGAGCCCAGCTCATCTCCACCCTCCTGTCTTCATTTTATTTTCATTGTGATTTGCATGTAAATTTATAGAGCAGATTGCTTTTCTGTTCATCAGTTCATGCACGTGTTTTGTGACGCTGACTGTAGTCTGTCCCCCTTTTGTAGCAACAGCCTTTCCACTTCCTCCTGGCGATTCATGCTTCTGGTTGTGACTCTGCTGGTGTGTTGGTCTCAGGCAGCACACTCCTTCCTGGTGGCGCTGGCCATCTTCTTGGCCTCTCTGTTGCTGGACAGGAAGTTGAGTCACAGCAGTGAGTTAATTCAGGTTTGAAGGATGGCTGATTAGATGTCATAGTCTCAAGGTTCCACCTGTCTCTCATCAGCCCATGACCCTGGTCTTTTGCATTATTACTTTATCTGTGTTATTATTATTAGTTCCACATTTTCCTTCCACTCTGCCGGAGCCTTCACTTGTGGTCCCTTTCAGTCTTTCAGTCTGTCAGTCCTGATGGCTGGGCACCATCCATTCCTTCTGGTCTCAGGGACATGGAGACTGGACGTTTTCAGGGCTATTAATCTGTGTCGTAATATACTTTGATTTTCTTCATTTTTTGCTCCCAGTGGGGAGAGCCCAATACTTGCACCCCAGGTAGCCACTGTCCCTGATGTAAGGGTGTGGTTTGCACCGCTGTGATCTAGGAAAAACTCAGCCTGAAAAAGTAACTTGAAACTGTTGGATTAGCATGTTCTAGGGTAGCTAGCAAAAGCAGGTTTCTGTTCTCAAGCGCTCGCCTTGGCTGGCTGCAGATAAAAAGGTCATTCCTGAGCGAAATTCCCTACCACATGGGATCAGGCCCTGCGCATGAGCCCGCAGGAGCTACAGACAGTGGAGTCATATTCCCAAGACCATGAAGTGGTACATTGCCTGGATGGGAAGCAAACTCATTATATCAAGATTTTAAACTTAAAAAACAGAAGGGTTAAAAAAAAGTTCCACAAAATAGATAAAACAGAATTGAAAGAAAACCAAGTATAATCTCTAGAATGAAAAATTGAATCTGTGCTTCTTTGCTTGTGGGGTGAAGGTTATGAGGTCCACACTTGTTTCTTTGAGGCCATCTTACTGTTGGTGTCGGGACACGTTTGAATGCATATAGTCCCCGGTTACAGGCTTCTGTTCCGAGGACTCTTCACACATCTGCCCTCTCGTAAGGGCCTCCAGGAGTCTAGTCTGAAGGCTTCCTGTATAGACGAAATCCTCCTCCTCCTCTTTGTAACCTGCTCTGTCTTCCAGTCTAGGTAATATTGAGCTGAACTGTCCTTCATTCTCAGGCTTTATTTTCGTTCATTCCAGCTGTCTTTGACGCTTGTATTAGGATACTAAGCTCCAAGTCCCCTCTGTCAGGATTGGGGTTGTGTGCTGTTGAGTCACACCCAGCCCGTTGCTGACCCTCCAGAGGGTTCTCAGAGGCTGTAAACGGCACAGTAGGAGATTGCTCCTCCTTCCGCTGTGCAGCAGCTGGGGGATTCAAACCATGTGCCTTTGGGACTGTAGCAGCTTCTTACCACCAGACCACCTTTATTACTCTACCCATTTTATATGATTGATTAAATAATTGGGTAGTAAATTCCTTAGCATTCTAATATTGAGTGTTTTAGGATGGTACAGAGAATTGTTTTGGGTTTTACTTTAAAGGGAGCTCTGGGGGCATAGTGGTAAGGAGTTCCACAGCAAACACAGAGGCTGTGCCTTCTGGTGGTTTGGACCCACGAAGGTGGGCCTTCTCCTCCTCTTGGTGCTTTAAAGCCCTGAGCTGGCGGGTCAGCTGAGTCTGATCTTACTCAGCGGCAATGTGTTTGATTTTTTTCCATAAATTCATTTTATGTTTTACAGAATCCAGGAGCTGTATTTGCTGGATTTTTTTTTCTTTTTCTGCTTTTCACATCTCCCCCGCCCAATATCCACTAAGTTGAAAAACTTACAAAAATAATAAAAGGAAATACTTCGATAGAAAATGCAGACAGTGTGCAAAGTCAAAGAAAGTGGAGCTAACTAGAAGTTTCTCTCAGTAAGAGGCGTGTAGTAACATTTCAGTCAGCTCTGTTGTCTCAGAAACGATGCTGGTTCCACTAGTGCCTAAGAGAATGTCCTGTTGAGAAAGCATTTTGGGTTTCATGAGCTTTTCTTGGGGCTTTAGAAATGGGTATTTTGTAACTTTTTCTGAACTCATTTTGTTTTCCAATATGTTGCTGTTCCTGCTAGGAGTGCAGTCCTAAAAAGGATGTGAAGCCCCCTGCCTCGGGGGCCGGCCCTGCCCTGGGCTGCAGTGGACCCGCTGGGGTCTCCACCACCTGTGGCTCGACGGCCGCCCAGGAGACCATCTGTCTGGACGACTCCTTGGATGAGGACTTTTCCTTCCACTCGTCCTCGCTGGAGCTCGTGTCCGAAGCGCTGACTGTTATCAACAATGGGAGCAAGGGACCCCCGGTCAGCTCACGGGTCAGCCTGCCGACCACAAAACCTCGCCCAGGGCTGAGAGAAGAAAAACTAGCGAGTATCATGAGTAAGCTGCCGCTGGCCACGTCCAAAAAGCTCGAGTCCACACAGGGCGCACATTCGTCCAGTCTCATCGCTGGCCACAGAGGGCCAGTACCAAAGAAACCCCAGGACTTAGCCCATACTGGCATCTCTTCAGGCCTTATCGCGGGGTCCTCCATTCAGAACCCTAAAGTCTCCCTGGAACCTTTGCCGGCCAGGCTGCTGCAGCAAGGCCTGCAGAGGTCCAGCCAGATCTCGGCTGCTTCCTCTGCCCAGGCCCACGCCCCCTCCTCGTCCCAAGCCCCAGCCGCCGCCTCTGCTCACTCTCTGGGAACATCGGAGGCTCCAGACGCGTCCTCCTTGACACAGGTCACCAAGGTGCACCAGCACGCCGCTGTCCAGCAGAACTACGTGTCTCCCCTGCAGGCCACCATCAACAAATCCCAGACCAACCCTGTGGTGAAGCTGAGTAGCACCCCCCACCTCTCCTGCCAGACCCCGCTGGTGAAGACGTCGGAGAAACCGCTTGTCTACCGCCTGCCCCTGTCCACACCCTTGTCTGGAAACGGCTCCCAAGGGGCTCACCCCCTGGTCTCTAGGACAGCGCCCAGCACCACTACCTCCACTAACTATCTGGCCAAGGCCATGGTGTCGCAGATCTCCACGCAGGGTTTCAAGTCCCCGTTCTCGATGACTGCGTCCCCCAAACTCGCGGCCTCTCCCAAACCGGCCACGTCTCCGAAACCCTTGCCCTCACCCAAGCCTTCTGCCTCCCCCAAGCCCTCTCTGCCAACCAAGCCTTCGGTAACGACTAAACTGGTTTCCAAGTCCGGCCTGGCCCCCAAGCCCACTGTGTCCCCGAGCTCGTCTAGTCCGAATGCCCTCATCGCCCAGAGTGCTCACTCCAGCAGTGCCGCCCCTGTCCACAAGCAGCCCAGCGGGACGAGCCTCAGCAGACAGCCCCCCACTCTGAACCTGCTGCCCGCCAGCCGCACCTCCGGCCTTCCGTCTGCGAAAAGCCTTCAGGCCTCGGCCAAGCTCACAAACTCCTCGCCTGCCGGCTCTGCGGGAAAGACTAGCTTGAGTGGGGTTGCAGGCACTGTACCCGCCAGCAGAGGCGGCGGCCTGAACGCCAACGGACCCAACAGGACTAGTGTGTCCGGGGGAACAGGAAGTGGAACACAGGGTGCTACTAAACCGTTGTCTGCTCCACACAGACCACCCTCTGCCTCAGGATCTTCGGTGGTAACAGCCAGCGTGCAGGTATGTATGGTCCCTGCGTGCATGAGAGCAGTAAGGTGGTAGAGTCCGTCCTGTGAGTGCAATGGTGGGCTGATTGAGCACAGCTTACAGTGACGGGCTGACTGTAGCTGGCCCTCAGGCCGACCTGGTCTTCACACGGCGGGGTGCTTTTCAACAAAGTGTTTGCTGGGGCATATGTTGTTTTGGCTTGATTTTTCCCCAGTGCGTTTGCACAGGCTCACTTGAATCATTTTCGAGATGTTCAGCTGAAGTTCATGCTTAAAACTGTACTGCTTCTTAGAGTCTTGAAGCCCTCACAGGTTCATGAACACGCGTGGCCTGCTTCCCCGGCCCGGGCTCTTGTGTCCTGCCTACTTCATTTTTTTTTCTCCTCTTGGATCAAATTCATGTGGTCATGTTGGTTTTAACCATCTCATCTTTTCAAATAAAGGGGTTTTTTTTTGTTTGTTTGGGGTTTTTAGGGTTTGCATTGAAGTTGCAATTATATAATGTTCCCTGTCTCGATAGTGTTGGGAGTACCAGTGTTCCTGGTCCTGGATTTTGGAGGCATCCCCCTTCTAGGGGCTCGCCGACTGTCCATTTGTAGGAGCCCTAGGCCTCCAGCTTGCCCACTAGGCCCCCTCAGCCTTGCTCAGGATTTAGGATGGAGAGGTCGTCTCTGCTGTTTTGCTCCGTTTTAGGAATGCGTTTTCTCTGCCTTCATAGCAGTGCCGTTCTGTCTCCTGGAGTGGCAGGTGCCCCGAGCCAGACACGGTAGATCTGGGCTTCAGTGGCACTGGTCATCCCAGGTGCCAGCACTGGCTGTTTTCCCAGTTCCAGAACTCTCATCCAGTCGGTGTTTCTGAGCCACTTCTCTGGCAGTTGGTTTTGTTTTATGCTCTTCACCCCTTCCCAGCTTCCATCGTCGCTGCTGCCTCCCTCAGACCAGTCCCTTCTCCTCCATGCTTTTTATTTCTTTATCCCATTTGTGTTACGTTTTCTCAGATTTTCCTTGCGCATGAGTGATCTGATTATTTCAGATTTTCTGTTTTCCTGGGAAGCAACGCTCTCACTGTAGCCATTTTCAGGAAAAAAGAATAACAGTTACCTCCTCCTCACACCACTGCAGATTGTATTTTGTTGAAACTTGGCCTCTTTCCAAGTATAGTTTCTATATGTGATTCAATTTCCTAACCAACTTTTTTCTCTCGATATACTGTTTGTTATATTCTTTTTTTATTTCTTACATTCTTAAAGATCTTAGAAAACGATCTTTATGGATGTTGAGTTCTGTTGTCTGAGTGAATTCTCTCCCCACACTGCCTGAGGATGGAGTAAGAACATCTGTTGATAAGAACAGATACTAACTACACTTAATCTTAGCCAAAAGGCCGAGAAGCGATAAGAGCATCTGTTGAAAGGATGCTTCCTTTGATGGTTTTACAGTCCATGCTGTCTTCACGTGGACTCAGTCCCTCCAGAAACCAAACCCTCGCTGAAGCTCAGGAGTGACTTAACATGCAAACTTCTGATGTGGTACAAAAGCCAGTTAGTACAGCAAGAAGTGAGTTCCAGGATTAACAGAAATAACAAAAGCAAACTGCCATTAAGGATTTGATACTGAAAATCAAGTGCTCAGGAACATATGTGAGTTAGTCCACCTGTCAGTTTGCATAGGTATTTTTACTGAGACAATGAATTTTTTAAATGAATCTTCATCTTAGTAGAGGAAAGTGTAGGGAGTTCTGGTGGCCTAGTGGCAAGAAGCTGCGCTGCAGTCCTGAAGGCGCATGGTTCGAATCCACCAGATGCTTCGCTGGAGATGGAGGGGCAATTTCCTCTTGTCCCGCTCGGATCTGACTCAGTGGTACGCACATACACACACAAAATAGAAGAATATGTAAGAGTTTATAGCAGAAATAGCGGTTCACTGCCTCACATGCTCTTCCTCACCATAGCACTTTTACCTCTTAGCTTTTTCTTCCTCTGTTTTCAAAAAGGAAGACTGGACTTTAGATCCTCATTGCCTGCTCTCTGCTCATGACAGAGACTTTGCTGTTGGGCTCTGTCCTTCTGACAGGGAAAGCGGCGTGGTTTTTGGCTGAAGCCTTCCTTAGCATTGGAAATGTTGTCTCTTGCATTAGAACACTGTGAGCTGTAGTTTCATTTGCTCTCTTACTAGAGATTTCCAGTTCTCCCTCCTGGTAAATAAGTGTGTTGTATCTTCTGTTTACTTTATATGTGAGGTGACATCTTTCTCCATCCTTTATCGCGTCTAGCATCTTACCAGTTTGATCTCCCCCAGTACATGTTTGTATTTGAGTCATTCTGTTTTCCCAGAACTCAGATACCATGAAATGAGGAATTGGTTCGTCCACATACAAACTCCATGGTGAGTTTTGCGTTTTTGAGAAGTGGCCACCTCTCCTGTCTACTTCCTTACCCTGGAGACTAACAGGCGACCACGTCTTACCTCTGAGTCATAGGTGTTCCTCTCTCCTTGGTTGGCTGCAGGCTGTTCTGTGGGAGAGGATGGACTCCATCCCTCAGGTCAGGTGCAGCACTCTGCGGGCTTTGCCATCAGAGGTCCCTGGTCCTGAGCTTTAGGTGTGCCCAGCGTGCCTTTGGTTTTAACAGCGTTCCTCCTTGACATTGGTGAGCTGCTCTCGGCTGCTAGATCCTTCTGTGTAGCTCCACCACTGGGAGCAGCCTTCTGCACTGAGCTGTGGACGGAATGAGAGGCTGTCCCAGGGGCTCTCGGGTCTGCTCATGTGGAGGGTGGCCACACCACGTGCTGGACGTGCTAACCTTAAATTCCTGATGAATTCCGATTGTCAGCCCTGTCTATCTTCTGTCTCATAGTGTCATCACAGACTCCTCTTTCTTGTCCTTCAAATTCACGGTTTTCTATGATATCGCATTGATTAAGCAAGTGCTGATTGTCTACTATGTGCCAGGTGCTCTTCTAGGGGCGTGGTTCTTGGGGAGCAGCAAGAATGACAGGTGCTGTTGTGACAGTGATTGCTGCCACCATCGAGTAAGCAGTTTGGCAGGGCCCCTCTGAGGCGGTGACATTCCAGTGGGCATGGACCAGCCATGCGCTGACAGGAGAGCTGTGCAAGAAGCTGGACAGCTGGAGCTAATGCGCCCAGATGGAGAAGGGTGTGAGGTTGGGGCTACTGCAGGTGGTGCCGGGGTCTGACCACTCTCAAAGCTTGGGCCCCGGGGTCCAGACCAGGATGCTGGATGCTAGGTTTGTTCTGTGGCAGGGGGGAGCTGCTGGGCATGAGAAGCATTTCTAAAGCTGGCCTATGTGCCAAGAGAAGGGCAGGTGGAAATACTAGAAAAGCCGAACAGGCAGCTTTTGAAAGTAGAACCAGAGAGAGAGAGAGAGAGATTTGCTTCGTTTTCCCTGGGTGTGCAGAGGAGGTGATGTGGGGCAGCTCTCAACCCGGACCACCCCTCCTGTGTGGACTGAAGGATGCTGGGCTGCCCACTGCCAGATGGTCTCTCGCTTCCAGGACAGATAGCGTGACAGTGATCTCGGAGCAAAGTGGCCACTTTTCATTTCGTTTTAGAAACAGGAAAGTTCTTTGGGAGTTTGTTAGTTAAGTACTGCTGCTACTCAGATACTTAATTTTGGAAGTGGCCTCCTGTCTCCATTTGCCCGGGAAGTGGCCTCCTGTCTCCATTTGCCCGGGTGGTGTGGTGTTTTGTGCTGACCTATTAACAGAAAGGTCAGAGGTTTGAATCTGCCCGTTTCTCTCAGGAAGAAAGTTAGGCAGTCTCCTTCTTCAGCCTTGAGAACTCGGTGGGAGTGTGCTGAGTCAGAATTGACTTGGGGTTTGGGTTTTATTTATTACTCTTATTCCTGGTCCCAGAAGCAGCCCTGGCACAGTGGCTCAGCTGTCAGCCTAAAGGTCAGTGCTTGAACCGATGAAGCGTTCCATGGGGAGCAGTGGTGGCCTGCTCCTGTGACGATCACCAGCTTAAGAACATCACATGGGCACTTCGGCTGTGCCCTGCAAGGTTGTTGTGAGTCGGAACTGACTTGATGGCAGGAGGTTCCCCACCCCCGTTTTCTTGGACCCTCAAGAGTTTTAAGAAGTGTTTGCTTGGTCACCAGGATTCCCAGTTCTTCACTAGTGGTCTGGGGTACAGGCTCCATATCGCCCTCCAGAACTGCACTCAAGTGTGATGCAAAGAGCCAGCTCGTTGGTTTTCATTCAGAAGGATGCAGGGTCATCTTTCTTTAGGTTGTTGTAGATGTTATTTCTCCATGACCTGTGTGTCATGGTCGTGCAGGAGAAACAGGGTAATGATAGGCTAATTTGAGCCCAAAATGATGAGCATTTCCTCTTAATGTTGGAGTTGTGTGGGAGGAAAGAAAGAACGGGATGAGAGCTCCTGTATTTCAGCATGTAACATGCCGGGGCATAGAATGCACACGGTGAGCAAAGGAGAAAAACAAGTGGCCTTTTACAAAAACTGTGTCACGTCTGTTGTTTGCATAAAGAAGAGGTGTGAGCTCATCGTAGTCTCCGGATTCTGATACCTCAGGTTAATATGAAGAGGGGGGGACTGAGTTGCTGGTGGAGATGCTGGGTGGGTGTGGGAACCTAGGGGGTGAATGGGAGATAGTGAAGAGGGGGTGGGGAGACCAAAAGAGGGTGGGGAAAGGACCAAGGAACTGGGGTGGAGGCTTAGTGAGGCGGGCTTGGCAGATGGGGACGCTGGTGGAGAAGGTGTGCATTGTAATACAGTTTAGTGTGGATTGCCTCGGACATTAAGAAATGAGTCAGAAAAAAAAAAAAAAGAAATGAGTCAGATGATCAACCTTTTACTAATTAACTTTGTTTACTACTAGTAGAGCAAACTCAATACAGAAAACAGCTGACAAAACCTAATGTTTATTGTTCCTGACTTAAAGAGAACTGACAGTGGCGGGGCTGTGCAGTGGGCACTGTGTGAGGTGGAGAAAAAAGAACTGAGCACATTTTAGTTGCTAAGTGCACATTCTGGAAAGAAATTCACAACGGGAAGCAGTTGTTTACTTCCTGTGTGCAAAGTTGATGAAGGACTTCAGTTAGGTTAGTGGCTAGTAAGGACAAGGACCGTGACACCTCATCCCTTTTAGCGTCTGTCAGGTGTCAGTGTGTTCATGATCGTGGCCTCAGAGCCCAGCCTGTGAAGGGGCACAGTGCTCTCTCCTGGCCAGCCCTCTGCTGTCACTGGATCCTGACTCAGTGACCCTCCATCAGTCCCTGAGGTTGGAAATCTTTACAAGAGCAGACTGTCCTCAGAGCAGCTGATGGATTTGAACCGCTGGCCTTGTGGTTGGCAACCTGATGTGTTATGCACTCCTGCTACTGTCAGAGCTCTTGGTCCCAGAATCGCAGGGGAGGTGGTGGCCTGAATTTGGAGGTCTTTGTGGGAATGGAGGCTCTGGGTCATATGAGAGATAAACACAGATAAGTGAGCTTGTTCACTGGACATGCAGGCACAGCTGCGTGGTTGTACGCCAGCAGGAGAGATGGAGGGAAGGCTGGGGAGTGTGTGTGACAGTGTGGTGGGGCCCTACAGCTCTGCACAGGTGGGGTGCCACGTGAGGCTGATGATGCGGAAGTTCCCCGGGGGTGTGCGATAGGGCCAGGGCGTGGGGAGAGTCTAGAAGCACCTGTGGGGTTGTGGCCCCTCAATGCCTGAGTCTTCAAGGCCACGTGGAAGTGGTAGGGGCTTAGTAACTGGTCAGTGTCTTGATCAGGAGTGGAGTGCAGGTGGAAGCCTGGAGTCAGGACAAGCGCAGGAAGGCCAGGCATGATCTGTGCCCCAGGGGGGCAAAGGGCGGCTGAACCCTTTTCCTCAAAAGGTGGCAGGCAGATTCCTGAAAAGTATCTCCATGTCAGTTGATTTAGGTCAGGCACGTTATTTCTTTTGTATTTTGACCCCTAGTTTCTGTAGTCCAAGGGACCTTGGTGGTGTTTGATAAAACCGTCAGCTATGAACAAAAAGGCTGCAGGTTCAAAGCCTCCAGCTTCTCTGGGAGGAAGGTGTGACAGTCTGCCTGCCTGGAGACCACAGCCTGGGCAGCCCTGCAGGGCCGTTCCGCTGTGTCCTGGGGGCGGCTGTGAGGGTGGCAGCACCTCAGTCCCAGCCCTGTGTCCCCGCGGGCTCGGGGAGCGGTGAGTCGGGGTGCTAGGCACATTGTCTGTCTCCGTTTTGACCCCTGGTTTCTGCAGTCCACAGCAGGAGTGTCATTACTGGCTAATGCCTCACCTCTGACTCTCACGACATCACCTTTGTCTGTAACAAATCAAAATGTGACTCCTTTTGGGATGCTGGGTGGCCTTGTTCCAGTGACCATGCCCTTCCAGTTTCCCTTGGAGCTACTTGGCTTTGGAACGGACACAGCTGGAGTGACCGCCACCTCGGGATCTACCTCAGCCGCTTTCCACCACAACCTGACTCAGAGTAAGTGGGCCCGTGGCGGACGGGGCTCCCGGACTGGGCAGGGGCCGCGGGGCGAGGCCCCCGGAGCCAGCGAGCTCCATAGCTCGCTTAAGAAACGCAGCTGGTTCTGCATCAGCGTCTAGTGAGCCGAGCCCTGGAGGCTGGGAGTTCCTTGATGCTTCTGAACTGCCAATAGGACATTCTCTACCTTAATGGAAGTCAGATACGCTGGTTTGTCTGCTTACTTTAAACATCGTGGCTCTGTGCTTAAAGCTGTCGGCTGCTAAATAGTATGTCGACATTTCATACTTGGCAGCTGCTCTGAGGGTGAAGACATGGCAATCTGCTTCTGAAAGACGGCAGCCTTGGGAGCCCCAGGGGGCAGTTTCCTCTGTCCGGGGGCGCTCTGGGCGGGGTCGGCTCCATGGCGGTGGGTCTGCCTTTCCTCCGAGCGTGTGTGTAAATCGTCAGAGGCTGTGCCTGCTCTTGGTCTGCGAGGGCCCGCTTTTGTGGGGAGGTCGCTGACGAGTCTCTTTCCCCCCAGATTTACTAAAGGGTTTACAGCCGGGAGCTCAGCACGCAGCATCACTCTCCCACTCCCCCCTGCCTGCTCACGTGCAGCAAACATTTCACGGTAAGAGCCCATCTCCCCTCCCCGAGTCCCTTCGTGCAGCCAGGGCCAGACCTCAGGCCTCTGCGGAGAACACAGGGGTGCGCCAGGGGCTGGGGAGACCCCTGAGCCTGACTGAACCCTCGCCGGCAGCAGGTTCCTCTCGAGCGAGCGAGGAGAAGGTGGACCGCAGTCCGAGGCCTCTTGGGACTTGTGCACGTCTGCGCTCTTCCCTGTGGTGTACGTGGTGATAATAGCTTACGCTTCGTAACAGCTTCCTGCGGGCGTGGGGGCCACCTGTGGTTTCTGGGTGAAGGTACAGATCAGGAAGTGGACTCAGAGAGGTCCAGGTCGTCTGTGACAGGAACCCCCTGCCACCATTCTTAAGCAGGATACTCTTCTGCCCCCAAGTAGTAATTCATTCCTGCGGCCCAGCCCACATCCACCGTGTCCTGCGGCCTGCCAGGTCCCCAGAGCCAGCGTTACGTGGTGGCGTGGGAAGCCGGCAGCAGATGCACAAGCCAGGGGCTTTGCCCTGGGTCTGCCAGATCGCTACCATGTGAAACCCCCCTGCTCAAAGGCCACCTTGACTTCTCTGCATTGTCTTCCTGTCCAGCAGCCTCCTTGGAACACGAGAAAGGACACTTGGCTAGTTACATAGGACTTTAGTAAAGCTGTTTTGAGTTTCTCATTCTAAAAGCATTTTTTTTTTGCAATAACACTTAAAAGTTTACTGGATGACAGCACACACAGGAAACGCAATTAGTCGAGGAGCCTACTATCCGTTCCCAAAGGGATCATCCTAAGAATTGAGACCCAAGAGGCGAACCCCGGCAGAGGCCTGGTCCGCCGCCTGCAGCGGGCTGGGGCCCCAGTTATGTGCGAACTCATGCTCTTGCGCAGCAGCTTAACCCCCGGCACCACGGGCAGGCGCGCCGGGGGCTCAAAGGCAGTGCGTCTAAAAGCATTTTAAAGTCTAAGTCGCAGGCATGGCGATCCACCAAGGTTCGCTTCTACAACTGCCACTGTGACCATCACAGTACCACTATGAGCTCATGATCATAAATTAGTGACAGGAGTGTTGTGTTTTGTTTTTTTTTGTTTGTTGTTTTTTTTTTATTTTTATTGTATTATTTTTACGTGTACTGTCAAATCAGATCTGACTGGTACAAGGAGTATTGTTTTGAGGTGTTTTTAATTTTTTTATTTTGTTTGATTTTGGTTTGTTTTTTTTTTAAGCAAAACAAACAGACTTGTGAGACGTTAACAGAATAATGGATTGAAAGCTTCTCGCATGGTCTCTGGTACAGAGTAAGAAGTCAGTAATGCCAGCTTTGTTGCCTGCAGCTGGGCATCTGTAGGGACCACTTGTTCACTCTCTCAGACTGTGCAAGCCATGTGAGGTCCCTGCCAGCTGCTTAACTGACATTTCAGTTTGAAAACCACCATAAGCACATCAGTGAATGAGTGTGGATGGCCTCTAGTAAAACTTTGTTTATAAAACCAGATGACAGTTGAGATTTGGCCCTTGGGCTGTACTTTGCCGAACTTGGTCTAAAGAATCTCACAGTCTGGTTAACATGAGTATTCTGTTACTTCATGAGCTTCCTTGTGCAAAACCCCACCTAAAAACATCTTGCCATGTTAAGAATGAAACCACCTAAGGGTCAGAGCCTTTCTACAAACACAGGAGTATCCCATCTCACTGTGGACAGAAAAGCCAGTTCCTTGGACAGTCTCCCCAAGGTCATTTCAGTAGTAGTTTCTGTGCAACTTGTAAATACCCATCTTGTCTCGTTGATCTACCTTTTCTTTAAAAGAGGCGACTTTGGTCGAGGTGAAGGTGTGGAGTGGGAGTGGGTGTCACCTGAGTGTCCCACACTGACCTCTGTGGTCCCTTCCAGCCCTCCCTTCAAGTGTGTTGGTACTACACAGCTGCTTGCTCCTGTCTGCCTCTGCCTCTGCTATCCCTGTCTCTCCTTTCAAAGTCAGGGCTCCTCCCCTCTTTCTCTCGGGCCTGTGATGTCTGGCTTTGTGTCTGCACTGAGACGGTGGCCTTGTGTGCTGTTGGCTGTTGGCTGTTGGCGTCCGGCTGGCTCTCCGCCCAGTGTGTGTCTCAGCAGCTTAGCTGGGGTGTACAGGGGGATGAGCCTTTTCCTCAGACGGTCACAGTGAGATGGTGTCCTTGGGGGAGCTGACCCTTGAGCACAGCAGGTGAGGGCCGCCCAGGTGGCTCCTGCTGCTGAGGGACCCTTTCGTGTACAAAACGAAATACCATTACAAGAAATCCAATTCCGATTGCAAGGAGTGGAAGTTTGCCTCGTCTTCTAAAGAAATCAGAAGACGGGGTGGGAGCCTTGAAGGTGAGCACCTTCTGGGTCCTTTGTTGTCCTGCCTACTGGGTCTTGGGCCCCTGAAACCAGCTGAACCTCAGTCCTTCACGGAGGGTCCTTCTGGTTGAGTTTTTGCCTTTTTAGTGCTCCCACGTGAAGGATGTTAACCACGAACTTTTCAGCCAGAATAAGCCCGTTGTTTTGCTTTGTTGTGTTTCTCTGACCTGTTTGTCAATAACGTGCCCCCCCAACATCTCTTCTTCCCAGATGGAGGCCAAAGTAAAGGAGACACTAAAGTACCACGGAAATCTCAGTGAGCGCACGGCGGGCCGTGGGGAGGCGGCGCGGGACTGGCCGCTGGACTCCGCCTGAGGGACAGTACTGACGGGTCACAGGGCTGCTGCTTCTGTCCATGTTTACATTCTCTCGTCCCAAGCACTGTGGTGAGGAGGAGAAGAAGGAACGTTACTTGATCAACGCCGGGCGTGGGGGCACGAGCGGCCCTCCAGCAGCCTCACGAGCTCCAGGCGCTTCTGACAAAAGACAGAGTTAACCTGTTAACCGACTGGGACCCCCACACTGGCATTCGCCCGAGGAGGAAGAGGAAGGCTCGGCTGTGGGTGGACACCATTCCTCCCAGGGGTCCGAGCTGGACGATGGCGGGACCCTGCCCTCCTGTGATGAGAGGCAGGATCCTGCAGTTAGGCTGCTCGGTTGGCACAGTGGAGGGTGTGTCTGTCCGAGCAGACTGTGCCGCTGACGTGGCACCAAAATAAAACCGCGTGTCGTTGCCTTTGAGGCAGAGTAACCACGGCCATAGCACCTGAATCTGAGCAGAGTTGAGCCTGCCCCCAGCGTGTCCACTCCTGACCTGGGACGGTGTGTGGAGATGCCTCGGGAAAGTCGGCTAATGCAGGGAGGGACGTGTCACCAAGTCTCCCTGGTCTCCAGCCGGGCGAAGCCTCGGCGCGCCCGTGTGTGGGGTCGGGTCACCCTCCATTCTGAAGCAGGCGCTGAGCTCTGCTCTCCGGCTCGTCTGTGTATCTGGTCGTGTTTCCGTTCTCCAGGTCAGAGTGTGGCTGTGTTCACATGTGTCTCTTGAGTGAGCGCCTCTGCTTCAGGGCTGCTGGCCACCATGGCCCAGGGGGACCCCAGCTCCTCCAGTCTCCTCCAGTTCCCAGCTCTGTTCTTTGAGAAAGTGACCTTCCAGGGGTGTTGCCTCTGCAGTCATTCTGATGGCGTTCTGAAGTGTTGACTCTTTAACGTGGTGTTTTAAAGGGAGGGATTCCATCTAGGTGAAGGAGTTAATTTTTCTAGCAATCACAGTGTATTTGTACACCTGACGTACAGTGTACAAAACTGATTGGGAACAGGTTGAGGTCTTAGCAGCATATTAACATTGGTCTGAAGTGGGCCCAGGTTGAACTCCATTACTCACAGCACAGTTCACGCGGACGGTATGGGAGAAATCGCTCTTTCAGATTTAGCGTTACCATTTTTTACCTCATCAGCATCTACTTGTTTGCTTGCTGTTTAGGCTTCTGAGTGTTTTCAAACTGTACCCGTAAGGACAGTCTAAGCTCTTTATTTGATCCATTTGTAATGACAGATTAAACTTTAAAAAAATAAAACCCAAAACAACCAAACCCCAAAATCAAACAAATCTATTTAGTATCACGTAGCAAGATACATTTTCATTACATGTTACCCTGTACCAAGTTTATTTACAAACAAAAGCCCCAAATAGCCAAGGGAACCGTGGCTGAACCCCGTGGATCTCTTCAGATCTCTGTCTGTACTGTGACTTCAGGGATACACCAGCTTCATGAAGAACTGACAACTGTCGTTCTAGGAACTTGTCACAGTTCAGGGGAAAGATTTTTCAAAGGCATCATTGGTAGAATTTCTTGCCTCTGAGACTAGTTCACCATTAAAACAGAGAATGCTGTGTGCTCCCAGACACCCCAGAGGGATCGAGGCGTGCCGCAGACAGTTGGCTTTCCTCAAGTCTGTTTGATTAACGCTTTGTTTATGCTTTAGTTCTTGATTTAGTCCAGTAGAGACAGCCTCTTGCTTTCTTTAAAATCTAGTTTGTGATGTGTGCGCACACACACAGGCTTTGCTTTCTTTGGGGTGGGAATGTTTGGAAAGGTGGTCTTTGTTTTTCCCCCATAGCAGTAGGTCTTCTGTGTTTCTGCCCGTCACCAAGCCTGTACACGCGTGTAACGTGTAACGTATGTGCCTGTAAGTCTACAGATAGAAACACGCAGAGCGGGAAGCTTACCACAGGCTCAGGCGAGGACATGACGTGTCTCTCCCAGCTCATTGGCTCTGGATCTTGCCGCACCTCGCTCCCTGCTGACACCCTGCAGCATAATCAGAATGGGACTTTGTGGACCCTTCCCCACCTTCGCCAGGCTTGAAGAACTCGGGCTGGCTGGAGGCTGCATCTTTCTCCTTGGTCTTGATTCCTTCACCCCCCTCCTGTTGGACAAACGGGTCAGATAACGCATGTGTCCTGTGTCTGCCTCGTGTGTCCCACATCTGTCAGTGCCACCTGAGCACAGGTCTGCACACTGTGTCGGGAGATCGCGTCCGTACTTCACCATCACCTCCGTGGTTTTCCCCACTGAACCAAAACCTGCCAGCTGGTTCTTTTTAGCACAGAGACTTACCGCTCACACTGTACTTTTGCACTTAAAGCTCCAGTCATGTCCCCTCTTAAGATGGTGAGAACTGGAAAGTCCACTGAGCCGAAGAGTGTTAGCAGCGCCCCGCTGCCGAGTTCCCAATGCCAGTCCTCCGCAGTGGGAGTCTGGTTCAGGAAGAAGCCGTTTCCTCCAGCTGTCTCAGTGTAAACTGCCTTCACGTTCACCGTCCACACGCTGTGCCCAGTACACGGTACATGCGCTGTGCCGTTCGGACACGCGGATCCTCAGTATTCACAGCAATAAAGGTCGGCAGAGCCGTCTTCAGGGCCGGCCGCGGCCTGTCTGGGAGTTACTCCGAGCTCCAAAGTAAACAAGCAATAACTGCCCCTAAGGTGATGCTTCCTCACGGGCTCCTGAGAGCAGAATGGGGAAAGGAGAAATCAGCACCTTGAAACCGCTGGAGGACATGGGAGGACTACTGGATGCTTTTAGCCCAAGGCACTGGGTATGTTGTGTCGCTCAGGGGAGGGGAGTCCTGGACGCACGTCTGAATGCTTCAGGCTTGACACCTGTTGGAAACAACATACTGGAAATTATTTTAACCCAGGGCAGTTTTTCCCAAAGCAGATCTGGATTGTTTACTCCCGGGGTTGGGAAGGGCCAGTGTGTCCAGTCTTGCTCCTGCCTCGCCCCATCCACACTCCTTCCCACCTCGGCTTGGTTCGAGACATTTTCTGAAATGAAGATTCTACTGTTCAAAACTGCCATTGATTATGAGAGCTCTGTACCCTTTGGGGTCACTTCTCAGCATCACCTGTATCCTACATGCTGCTACATACTGATCTCGACCTCCTTCCTTGGTGTATTAGTCTGATTTCACCTCTTCCTTTCTGGGGGCTTGTGTCCAGTTCTCTGGTCCGCGTGCAGGGTAAGGATACTCGTTCAGGAGTCTACCCAGTAAGCACACTGGTCTCCAGAGCTGAAGCGCTTAGGTTTTGCAGTTGTGGTTTTTGTTTGTGTGTTTTTGTCTATAAGTTGGAAATCAAAGAATGAGAAAGATTGATAACCAGGCCCAACTTGAGAGCTGTTAGCCGTGTTTGTGCGTGTCAGGTCTGCTGGTCTTACCTCCTCACAGGGGGCATTTTTCTGTGATGGGAGTAAGTGCACGTGGTGCTTCTAGGTTTTTGCTGTTTGGGGGAATGGAGGTGCTTTATTTTTGTTAGACTGAAGAAGAAAAATGTGGTAATGGGTAAAAGACTGATTGTAAGAAGTTATGCAATTCTATTTGTTGAGACTCCAAGGGGAAAGGATTCATGAACTGTTCGTCTGTCACTGCTTAGCACTGGTAAGTGCCAACACTACTCCCCCCACATCCTTCTTCAGGCCTTTGGCTAAGTGCCTTCCCTCCTCTTCTTTTTTTACTCTCTTTTGAAATTTTCTCAAATACCCTCAACTGCAGGCTGATAAGTCAGGGATTCAGGAGAAAGAATCTCAAACTTGCCAATGTCAGGTGATGCTGTAATATTCCCCCTTTTCTTTATGAATATACAGATTTATGTGTAAGAGATATATGTGTGTAAGAGATATATGTATGTATCTTATGGATATGTGTGTAAGAGACATAGATATCTTAGATACATGTGTAAGGTGTATATATATATACATATATATGTATAGACATTATATGTGTGTGTGTGTATATATATATATATTTATATCTGACTGGTAGCTGCTGTACCATTCCATCCTTCCTGAAGATTCCCCTTTCAATACTATTTGCAAAACCTCTGCCTTGTTTATTCCGTTGCTTTTAGTTGCTTGAAATGGGCGATCAGGACATTGCGTTTTCACAAAATGCTATCTTCTCCACTTCACTATCTTTTTATACAAGCCAACAAATCTATGTGTACATAGAAAGAGAGTATATAAACAAGTCCGTTATTACAAGTCAAGTCAACCTAGAAGACTCATTAGCTCCAGTGGATGGAACGCCCTGCTCCGTGCCCTCAGCTTACATAAGTTCCAGGAGAAAGCATTGGCACTCTGGGGGTCTTGGGTGGGGCAGGTTGATGTGGTGCACTGTGACGGCCAGAGTCAGGATGTGCCGTCCACGCTGCATGGCAGGGAAACAGATTGGCAGCCCTGTTGGCATTCCACTGCTTCCTGGTTTCCTCTGGGAATTGCATCTGGAATGCACCCTAGCTCTGTGTCTGTCAAAAGTTTAAAATTAATTGAGAAATGGGAAAAATTCAGACACAGAAAACACAACTTTCACCTCTAGAATTCTCGAGAGACCCTTGGCTTGCTTTATATTTTACAGTAGTTTCACATGGGCAGAGTTGCTTCCTACTGACTTGTAAGTTGTCTCTGCCTTGAACAAAATTGCATCATTTGTAGCATCTGCCATTTACCAATTTCTTGTTGGAAACAAACAGATGTGATGTGTGGAGGGAGACGAAGTTGAACCAGTCCTCAAGACCCAGTGTGAATGTGTCTAAGATCCGTGGAATCACAGGAGCAAGGAGCCTGGTGTTTGCACTCTGGCCCAGGTGTCCCTCTGGACTGACTGCGTCAGGGGGACAGTGTGTTACCTTCGTGCCTCAGATTACCCATCAGAAAAGTGGGTATGACAATGTTCGCTACCTCCCAAGAAAAGCAGAGACTCT